CTCATGGCCTCAGATTTATTCATCCCTTTCTGGGTATTTCTTTATCTGAATAGACAAGCAGCTAATAAGGCTTTTGTACCTGACGTCCGTAGATATTTTGGGTCTAATGCCGGTTTTGATTGTGCACATAGAAAAAATGGACAGAGTAATTTATTTTATTCATAAAAATACTCTACAGTAAGGCAATACATAATATACACAATATCGCTGTGAACTCACTGAGTGAAAATATAAAGATGTATCGACATCTTCGTCTCCGAAGCTATCGAGCTTCGGAGACAGCATTCAGTAAGTGCAACGTCTTCGTCTTCTGTGCAGACTGGTTCTGACCCTTGGTATTCAAACAACCTTGGTCTTCGCCGGCGCACATATCCCCTAGGCGTATTGATTGGATAACACGTTCACTTGCTACGTGCTTCTACGAAATCGGTCTACGATAAAAAACATCCGTAGCGCTATTTAGCATACTGATACCAATTAACAAATAAATCTACATTAGAAATACAATAAACAAAAGCCAATCCAACAGTACCATGTTTATTCACCACTTCAATAATTCCATGCACAAAACTGAATGTTTTCAACGTTATTAAAGGTATGCTGGTCAATAATAAAATAAAATAAATGTCTAATTTGATTAAAAGACCTATAAATCTTTCTCTATTCATATCTAGACCACAGCTTGGCTATAAATAGTCTAGCTGTCTTTAAGTTTGTTAATTACGAAAATGACAGGTCAAGGTGTATTACGTAAGCTACGACGTAGAAGCGATTTACGATATTAACAGCTTTACGATAATTACAAAACCTTTTTAATTTCCATATCCTTATGTTCCATTTCAAATGTTATGAGTAATGTAGTTGTTGTACTTATAGCTAAATGTTAGTTATATATCCACATTTAGCTATAAGTACAACAACTATAGCTAATAGACCACAAGCCCATGAACAAAAAATACCTGTGAAATGACCCAACCTGAATTACGCTTAGAAGGCTGTTACTATATCTGAAAATAGCTCTGAGCACTATGCCGTCATTTCTGAGCGGTACATGTGAGTACGTGAGTGAATGGACTTTCTCAGGTACAATGGGGGAATTTCGACTAATTATTAATGTACGGCTTTGTTATAAGTGTATAGATGATTAAAAATAAATGTAGAAAAACCTAGTGCCGTACAAAAGTGATGGTACCGGAAGTCGGTGCAAATTTTTAATTCGACGACAGTTGCAGAAGCAATATAGGTCATTTATTACTGTACGGCATTTGTGTGATTCCTTTTGGACACATATACAGATACTTTACCCGTAAACGCCGTACATATTTCCAGCGGAGCGGTCGAAAGCCAAGGGTCGGAACCCTACCCCTACACCCATATACCCTAAGGTCATTGTAAAATGTACGGCAACATGTTCAAAATATTATTTAACACGGACAATAATGTTTTATAATTATGCCGTCCAAATATTATAGTTAATATTTGTGTAATTAAATATTTATCGAAATTTCAGGATTTACCAAGTTCTTGCTGCTGTAAGATCAGAGAATAATGTACGGCAACTTGTTTTTTTACATAATGTTACTAAATATTACCGTTGTACCTTATAGCCGTTCATTTTAAATGGTAACAAATAAAAATATTATGATAAAAAATATATGAAATTTCCGAAATTTAGATGACTTTTCAAATGCTCCTAGAGTAATATGGGGAGTAATATTTTCAAAGATTATTGTTATTTTATATGTAACAAATATAAATAAACAAAAAAACCAGATGCCGTACATTTTACTCCAGATTATTCTTTACAGCTGATAAAAACTTCGACGACGTTTGAGGTGTCCCTTAAGGTCATTAATAACTGTACATATCTGAGTATACTACCATAAGGCTGTAAAGTATATTTACAGCCTTATCGTACCAGCAGAGAGAGGTTTAGGAAAAATATTTTTAACAAAAATAAAAATATAATACAGGGCGTCCCAAAGTTATGAGACATGAAGGGAAAGTACCTTAAATATCGCAGATAGGGTATTTTACTAAAAGAAGACTTTATGTTATTTTTAAAAGTTAGTAATTCTGCATTCAAAGATTTTTTAAAAACTACTTGCCTCGTCTGGAAATCGAACCGGCTTAAATTTAAAAAAAAAACACCCCTACTTTTATGATGCCAATGGAAAGAATGGCCAGAACCTAATAACTTTTCTAAAGTAACAGACTCGTAGGGGATTTTTTTAGGCCGAATACGATAGATAATGTTTTTAATTTGATTAAAAGATATATTCACGCTGTTCCTTTCTTTGAAAATACTATGTTACTTAAGAAGAATTATTAGTTTTTGGCCATTCTTTCGATTGGCATCATAAAACTAGGGGTGTTTTTTTCATTTAAGTCGGTTCGATTCCCAGACGAGGCAAGTAATTTTTTAAAAATCTTTGAATACAGAATTAATAACTTTTAAAAATAACATAGTCTTCTTTTAGTAAAATACCCTTTCTACGATATTTAAGGTACTTTCCCTTCATTTCCCATAACTTTGGGACGCCCTGTATTGGTAGGCGGTGGTAGCGGACTATCGAAAGTGTACGGCAGTTATCTTTTATTGAAAATTGTCTAAAGTATTAATAACCTGTGTTATTGCCGTACAGATAAAAGTCACCGGAAAATGACTCTTTTCTGAGGAAAGTAATTTACCCCATACACCTATGTGTTCCACAAAAAATGTACGGCATGCTGGAAAATGTTATCTATTTGTGAAGTACTCTCAAGATCATTTAATTTTATGTTGTTTCATATCATCATCACCTAATAAATAAGCTCATAAGCTAATCAGACATATGTTGCGACCCTTGGCTTTCGACCGCTCCGCTGGAAATATGTACAGCGTTTACGGGTAAAGTATCTGTATATGTGTCCAAAAGGAATCACATAAATGCCGTACAGTAATAAATGACCTTTATTGCTTCTGCAACTGTCGTCGAATTAAAAATTTGCACCGACTTCCGGCACCATCACTTTTGTACGGCACTAGGTTTTTCGACATTTATTTTTAATCATCTATACACTTATAACAAAGCCGTACATTAATAATTAGTCGAAATTCCCCCATTGTACCTGAGAAAGTCCATTCACTCACGTACTCACATGTACCGCTCAGAAATGACGGCATAGTGCTCAGAGCTATTTTCAGATATAGTAACAGCCTTCTAAGCGTAATTCACGTTGGGTCATTTCACAGGTATTTTTTGTTCATGGGCTTGTGGTCTATAAATGTGGATATAAAAAGACAAATGAATGACGGTCATCGAAGCACAAATATATATATGAGTAAATAGCTGTACAAATTTTAATTTGGAATTCTTAACCAAAGAGGAGATATTTGAGGTCAAAGTGGCCAAAACGTAAAACGCCAATTTCATATGTAAGGACCTAATATGTTAGTTGCCTGTGGATAGAAACCTCTCTTGCGTGAAGGTTTCCTTCAACCCTTTCCGTCGTCTCTATCCATTTGTGGTCTCTGTCTTTGCCAATAGTATGCCAGTATGTTTGCGAGGCCCTTTGTCCTTCGTGAAAAGAATGTGATGCGAAATTCGGTCTGGTTGTTTGGTTTAGGTCATGTTTGAGGAGAAATGCTAAAGTTATGCAAATAAATCAAAATTGAGTTTTAAAATATTTTATGTTGAAAGGTTTACAAAATTAACAAATACAACTACGATACATTTTAAAATTGATGTTTGCGGCTTTTCCTAATGCATGCAATTAAAAAAAATCTTTATAAAGCACAATAATCTAATTAATGAGCTACGTCATTCTCGATGGAATGAATAGCAAGGACTGAAAGCCGATCTTGTGTCATCAAATTCCTCAGATGTGTTTTAATAATTTCAAGCCTCGAAAAGCTCCTGAAACAGTTGTGTCTGCTGAAAGCTTGAGCTCTGTGTTTAAATTTTTCTTTATTTATATAATAGTTTGTGATCATCGCCCGTTCTCCAGCGTCTATCGTTACAATTAAGGGTCTATGTGAAGTATGTAAAACTAATATCTGGTAATGTAGGTTTATTGGTACACTAAATTTTATTTATCCAATATATTATACTATGGATGGGTAGTAGTAAAGAAATACTGACCTAAAAGTACTAAAACGCAGCCATAAATCGCCCTTGCCAAGTCTTTACGTGGTAAAATTTTCCATATAGCAATATTTCGTATTCTAATAGCTGTAGTTACGGCAATCCTTGTCCAATTTAAAAAGATCCCCAAAAGTCATTAATAATGCCGTGTAGTTGGTGGTTAAATGAATATTCATTTCAAGGGGCAGCTCACAAGTCACTGGTCCACTTCAGAACGATATGTTTTAAGAATCGAAGAAATAAAGTAACTTGTTTTTATTTTAGTTGAGAGCACATGTCGAGCCGGATAAACTAATACAATTAAGCATTGTCTTAATAAAACTTCTAAGTAAAATATTGACACAGCTTATTCAAAGACAAAATTAAAATCGTTTATTAATATAGGTAACACAACACAATGTACACTTATGAACGTCAAATAAAAAATACATAATAAATGCTTCTAATTTTACATTTACTGCCAGTTCTCAAATCAAGGGCGTAGAACGGAAGAGAAGAACTGGCAATAAACATTTTTTGTTTTACACAATGTTTGTAAGGAACTGCAACCATTACACCATATTCCACGTGACTTCTTAAGTGATTAATAATAATAAAATAAATTAAAAAACAAAGATTTGTCCTCTATCAGCAGGAAATATAAATATCTTGCTTTATTACTAAATAAACGGTAAATTTTTGAAAACGGTTTTATTTTTAACAGTCATAATTCCACGAGAACGAAACGTAGGAATGAGCTAGTGAAATGTCCATTCCAGTGACTTAACTCCAAGTACATCATGGTGGTGAGGGGTGGCACATGGCTAACGGTCAGTAGTCGACTAGTGGTCGGTCCGGCATGGCCGACTTTCCCGCCTGAATCAGATTGCCGCCATGATTGACGACATACCAGGTGCGTTCCTATTTTAAATTTTCATTTCAATACAAAATGGTCAATCTTCATCCTCTAGTCTATGTTTCTGTCAAAAATTCCATAAACTACGAGATGACGCAGATTGTATATTTAAATATTTAATGAAATTTACATCGTTTTGTAATTTTTAAACGGTTTTGCGGATTATTACTCAAATCTAATATTTAATAGAAATTTGTGGAAGTTGTGTGTTCATGTATATGTACCTCAGATCCTACAAGAGTTAACAGACCCAAAAAAGGAAATTTAAAAAATATAAATACTATATTGAAAAACAAATAAAGATTTTAAAATATGTTTGAAATGTGTGTCGTTATAAGTACGTTTTCAGTTCGTGACAAACTTCACACTATATATTTAGAAATCACATTACGTAAAAAGCGTAGTATTTTTCGAATAGTCAGGCTGCAACGTAAAATTAGTATCGATTTCCTATCAAGCTAATGTTTTGTAGGAAGCTTAAGCTGTGTTTACTTAAGCGATGCTTTTATTAACACTGTTTATAGCAGATTTAAACCTTAAAGCTTTTTTACCGTCACAAGGTAAATGCAAGGTACCCAGGCGGGCGGAGGCGAAAATATCATATTCAAAATTCAAAATTCAAAAATCATTTATTCACGTTGGTAACACAATGTACACTTGTGATTCGTCATTCGTCATTATATATAATATATTATTCAAGACATAATTCAAATTTACAATTACAAAACCTTCCAGGCCGTTCTCTTGATTTCAAGCATAGTCACGACGTTTTTGTTGTTAATTTATTTATTTTCTAACGTAAAACAATGTAAGTAAATCGTAAATTTTACTTTAAAAACATTTTACTTTAAACCCACCCCAGCTTCGCACGGGCAACCGTGACCCAATGATGTACCACCTTCCTCATGAATCATTCTAGATACTAGATATTAGATATAGACGCGGCGTAGGACGTAATTTTAGAAGACTCTTTTGTAAGCATTATCAAGCTTTAGAACTTAATAATATATCTCGTCGTTAAGGCAGCCAGAAAAGATTTCGTTTGACCGTCTTTTCTGCGAGTCACTTCACAGGTCAGACTACCACGAAGCATTTTTTGGGTTAATATATTAGCTTATGACACACAAGGCGTGCCTTTCTATTGGTAAAAGAAATCAAAATCGGTTAAGCAGATCCAGAGATTACCCTCCACAAACATTACCTTCTATCTTCAGTTGGTCTGAAGATCTGGAGCGAACTATTTTTTTTCCACCGGTTTCCGTCCAGCGCCTCTTTTATTACAGTGTACAGATTTTAACCGATGAGATAATAATTATTATTAATTATTAAAATGAAGGTTATTTCTTCTTGAATTTGTTACTGTTGTAAACCTTTTATAATTTATACAAATCTTAATATATATATTTCTTGTGTGCGTGTGTATGTGACTGAACTTCTCTCAAACGACTGGACCGATTTTGATGAAATTTTTTGTGTGTGTTCAAGGGGATCTGGGAATGGTTTAGATTCACAAATCAGCCCGGCAGATGGCACTGCAGTCGGTACTTTCATACTTTGCTTAATATCCTAATCGCTTTAAATATCATGCAGGACAACGTCTGTGGGGTCCACTAGTATACTTATAAAATCGTGAATCAAATTCACGTGTCAACCTGATGAATCCTCTTATGCCTAATTATTTATAAAAGTATCTTCCGTCTTAATAACACCCATCTCTTTATGTATCTATGTATCTGTTAAATATATTATACGCTGTGCTGACGAATGATAGATCTGTGCTTATTAAACTATTGTTTTCCGCACACTCTGTGCGGAAAACAAAGCGTGGTATATTTCAACAATCAAAACCCGCCACTTTATAAATAAGGTTTTTATATGACCTTTATGTCATAGCATTAAAACTGAGTTTGGAATAAAACATATTTGATTGTAAGGGTCAAGTTAAGTTGGTCGATGTATAAGTTTGCGACTGAACATAATTCTTATTTGCTTGCTGTACCTACTCGTATTATATTAAATTTTTCCAACTGTTACTTGATGACAACTATATTGATGCAAGTGTTGTTTACAACAAAAAAAGTTAATATAGCACTGCATCGATCAAATTTACCTCGGTTCTATTTTAGTTCTTATAAAAAAGGGGCAAGTTTATAGACTTCGTACAGATCTTGAATAAAAAAAAAAGTAACTTTGTTTTGCAGGCTCTTAATATGGGTTTAAGTTTTCATTTAGTTTTGTTTATTAGTGTTATTGTTATTTCTAATCTTTGTATTTTTAGTTATTATGATTTATTTATATTTTGTTGTAGTTGTTTGTTAAGTTTTTCCCTTTGATAGACTGGTTATGTTCTAATGTAATTGATGTGTATGTGTGTTAAATATGTGATGTCATATTTTCTTGTATTTTTTAGGTATAAACATTGTTTTAGAATGTATAAATAAATAAAAAGGTTTTCTCTGGACGGCTGTCAATAGCATTCGTGATTCACTTTAGTGTTATTAAAATCGTTATTCGCCAAGATATTTCTGTAGACTATCGTACAAATGAATCTAATCCAGCTTTTAATCTCTAGATTAGGTAAGTGCTAACCTTGGCAAGGTCAACGGATATTTCGTGATCCTTTAGCAATTACTAAGTGACCCAAGCTATAAAAGTGTTAAGCAAGCACTTTGCTACTACAATTAGTCTTCAGTCATACATTTTATTGCTTCCATCGCAGAAGAGTCGAACTTTCGGACGGGCGTAATTCTCTGGCTTTTCTATATTTTTTATTTTGATACTCCTAAATATTCTATCACTTGGGTACTCTGAAATATACCGGTTCCAATACCTGCAGCGGAATTCCCTCATCAGCCCTGCGATTCTGTAACTCACTTTTCGAACTCACACAGCGGTTTTCGCATCGGCGGTCGCTCTCAAATCAGTCCTGAAACAGTCATTTTATGATGAAAAGTGAGTTACAGAATCGCAGGGCTGGTGTCGAGGTCAGATGCGAAATTCCATGTTTGGCGTGTGGAATTTTTACTGGTAATAACACATTGCACTACATATATTTTAAGTTGTACTGTTTCATATTCCACATGTGAAAGTTACTATTAGTAGATTGTTTTATCAGTTTTCATATGTCTAAAGAATTTGTGATATAACATATATTCTTAACTATTAAGTCGTAGATAAATGTTATTCGTATGTAAAGTTATGTCCCTCGCCCCAACATTCCATTGAATTTTCTAAACAAAGGCGTCTAGGCTGTAATTATGCTACGATTTATCGTAGCAAAGCTTCTACGAATGACGTCATGGTAGTAATAAAAATTCATATTTCTACGTAAATTCTGATATAATCTAAAAAAAGCTTCTTTAACGTATATACGAATAACGTATACGTAACGTATACGTAACGTATACGTAACGTATACGTAACGTATATAAAACGAATTTATAACATAATTTACATAACTAGATGTTTAGAGTGCTTTTCACTGTCGTGGTCAGTAACGGACTGCTACAAGTAATGTTAAATGTAAAACAATACGTGTTAAAACCCGCTAAAGATTTTATTTAAATGTGTAGTAAATAATAAATCAGTGGCGCTACAACCACTTTAGGTCTTGGCCTCAGATTTCTGAATCTGTTTCATGATAATTTTTAAATCTAATAGGCAAGTAGGTGATCAGCCTCCAGTGCCTGACACATGCCGTCGACTTTTTGGGTCTAAGACATGTCCTTCACCGTTCGAGCAAATGTTAAATGCGCACATAGAAAGAAAGTCCATTGGTGTACAGCCTGGGATCGAACCTACGACCTAAGGTATGAGAGTCGCACGCTGAAGCCACTAGGCCAGCACTCCTCATGCTGCGCTGTTAATGCTGCTGTAATGAAAATATGCCTTTCAAGTCATATAGTCAAACTTTACGTTATCCATTCGTTTTATATTAATTGCTTATACATTTACGAAATTACTACGCTAAAAAAAAATTATTTTTCCAGAGACTGGTGCCGTATTTACCTTCGGCAAGTCCCACTTTGCGGACAACGAACCAAGCCATTTCTTCATCAAGAATGATCCAATTGTCGCTATTTCATGTGGGGATGAACACAGCGCTGTTATATGCCGTAAGTATTAAAAATCTACTATTTTATGAAAAGATCTATATATTTTTAATAATTAATCATTTATTTGCAAGACAGTGGTACATTTATATCGCTCAATTATGAAAATCCGCACAATCGGCCACACAAAAATAGGCATGCAAATGTCACATTAATTTTCAGTAAGGGTTGATTCGACCAAACAAGAGTAAATCTTAATCTTAGAATAAATCGTCAGTTAATCGAGAGTAAATCAATTTTACGTTTTATCATCTACAAATTCTAAGAACAGTGGGCCTATTCGGGAATTGTTACTATACCGCCGTTTCGCACATAACAGCTATTCCTAGAATAATTTAATGGCGTCAGTCAGTCCAATCATCTGATTTCTGTCATTTCACAAATATGTATTGTGTTTTAATTTCAAGTCAACGCAACGCACTAAATTAATAGTCTGGCATTGTATAATGAAACGTTTAAACATTTTTTTAATTATTTATTTATTTTTAGAAGTTTTGTTTTCTATAATATTAGAATGAAATTCAACTAGGCTCAACAGAAGTTCCTTTTTAGGCGAAAGCCTCAAACAAACAACAAATAAAAACTTTTTGTTGTCGTTTGACAACTGTTAAAAGCTATTTTTTCACACTATAATACGGCAAAATCGAGTTGACATGATGTATGCTCTTACACTGTCCCGTTGTAGAACAACATTTATTTGCCGAGTTTTATTTTCGTTCACCATTCTCTTTGCTATTCGCGTATTTTTATTCCTAGCGCAATTATACTATCGATTACGTGGAGAAACGACTATGGATTTACTCGAGATTAAAATCATGGAATAGGTTATTCCTGGTATTGTTACTCGTGTATAAATTGAAGTTTTGTCGAATCGACCCTAAGTCATATAATAAGAACATCAGTCATAATAATAAGTCAAGCTATTTATAATTAAGTGTTTTCAAAATTATGGGCCAAATATTGGCCCACGCTATAAAAGCACCTTGGCTTTAAAAATTTAATCACCTTCCCCTTGAAAGCATTACACGGCATTGATCTATAATTTCTAGGAAGGTGATTAAATATTTTAATAGCCATGGCGTAACAATTTTTGACAGACCGCATACGAAATACAACCGTGCTGGACAGAATGCAGAAGAACAAAGAAGTGCTTATGACGGTTAAGAAAAGGAAACTTGAGTAGTTCGGACACGTTTTACGTAACTCCAAAAAATATGAGCTCCTTCAACTAATTATACAAGGCAAAGTGGCAGGTAGAAGGAGACCTGGCCGCAGACGCACGTCCTGGTTGAGAAACTTGAGACAGTGGTTTGGTCAAAGCACCAGGTCATTGTTTAGAGGCGCGGCATCCAAAATTAAAATAGCCATGATGATCGCCAACCTTCGAAAGGAGATGGCACTATAAGAAGAAGAAGAAGAACAATTTTTGGAAAACAGCCCGGTGCTATTGTGATAGTTATATTTACATTCGCTCCTATAGTGAAGGAAATTATCGTGAGGAAGCCGGCATATTAATTGCGAACATCGAGGGCGAAGTGTCAGGCACAGAAGGCTGATCACCTACTTGCCTATTAAGAAAATAAATGATCACGAAGCAAATATCTGAGGCCAAGACCTAAAACATTGTAAAATCTTTAATTTTACCATTTGCAGAGAATGGCCGCGTGTTTGTTTTCGGCGCGAATGTTTGGGGTCAATTGGGCCTTGGTCATAAAGACGAGGTAACAAGACCCAGCTGTGTGAAATGGCTGAAACCACATCGGACGATGTTCGTGGCTTGTGGGAGAGCACATACTATTTTTGTTACTGGTTTGTTTTATTTGATATTAATATTTATTTGGCATGAACAAAAATTGTGTAGCTAACACAAAATGCAAAATGTCAAAATATAAGCAATGATTAATTATTATTTATAATAATACTAGCTGCCCTCGCGAACTTCGTTTCTCCTAAATGTGAATTTACTTTGCCTACCTTTTTAGTAGGTACATACCAACATGGAACATTTTGCTAAGCTACCCCAGAGACTGTTCGGTTTTCCGGAATGAATGTTCTTAACTAACAAATTAAAAGCAAGGGTTGATCGTAGAGGGTAGATGAAAATTAAGGGTTGTATGTATTTTGTATGCTGTATCATAAAAAAATAAAAACAAAAAAAAATTGTCTAAAAATAAAAACAAAATTTTTGGGATGGACACCCCTTATCACTTAGGGGTTTGAAAGATAGATAGTAGCCGATTCTCAGACTTACTAAATATGCATAAAAAATATTATAAGAATCAGTCGAGCTGTTTCGGAGCAGTATGGGAACGAACATTGTAGTACGGGAAGTAGCAACGTTTTCGAGAAAGAATTTTAGGTCAGCTGATTTTGTGATATGTCTTCATTCTTGCACTTTCGGTTAGAGTCTTGGCAATCTGGCTGGCGGTAGCGGTTGCGTTCTTTAGTGCGCATCCTATCTGTCCAGGTAATATCCTGGATTTTAAAAGCATTTTAAGAAGCGTAATTTTTAGTTTTTCGTTTTTAAATAACTACCTGTTGTAGGTAGTCTACCTGACATACTTTTTTTATTGCCAGACATTTTTCACATTGCTAACTATGTGCCAGACGCGATTTTAAGTTTTTTTTTATAAAAATTTCAAAGTATTTTAGAATGTCTGTAATTTTAATATTATGTTCTTTAAATATAAGAAAAACTAAAAATGAATTTGCCAGACATTAATTCGGTTGTTAAGTCTTGAATTAAAATGAAAAAGTATTGCAGTATGATGAAGCATTGCATTTTAAGAAGCGCAATTTTTAATTTTTCCTTTTTAAATAAGTCTACCTGACATACTTTTTTTATTGCCAGACATTTTTCACATTGCTAACTATGTGCCAGACGCGATTTTAAGTTTTTTTTTATAAAAATTTCAAAGTATTTTAGAATGTCTGTAATTTTAATATTATGTTCTTTAAATAAAAGAAAAACTAAAAATGAATTTGCCAGACATTAATTCGGTTGTTAAGTCTTGAATTAAAATGAAAAAGTATTGCAGTATGATTAAGCATTGCATTTTAAGAAGCGCAATTTTTAATTTTTCCTTTTTAAATGTCTACCTGACATACTTTTTTTATTGCCAGACATTTTTCACATTGCTAACTATGTGCCAGACGCGATTTTAAGTTTTTTTTTTATAAAAATTTCAAAGTATTTTAGAATGTCTGTAATTTTAATATTATGTTCTTTAAATAAAAGAAAAACTAAAAATGAATTTGCCAGACATTAATTCGGTTGTTAAGTCTTGAATTAAAATGAAAAAGTATTGCAGTATGATGAAACATTGCATTTGAGGAAGCGTTATTTTTTAATTTTTTTTGTTCAGAATCAGAACAGCGTAAAACAACTTCTGCGTCAAAATCGATTTGGCAAATATGAAAAATAATCCTAGAATCAGCTTCTTCGTGTTCTTCACACGATAATGATTCTTCAATAGTTTTAATTACTTAGTTATTTATCACTTTGTATGAATAACATTTATTAAAACTTACGTAAATGTTTTTATTACCAATGAAAATTAAAAATTGCGCTTCTTAAAATGCAATGCTTCATCATACTGCAATACTTTTTCATTTTAATTCAAGACTTAACAACCGAATTAATGTCTGGCAAATTCATTTTTAGTTTTTCTTATATTTAAAGAACATAATATTAAAATTACAGACATTCTAAAATACTTTGAAATTTTTATAAAAAAAAACTTAAAATCGCGTCTGGCACATAGTTAGCAATGTGAAAAATGTCTGGCAATAAAAAAAGTATGTCAGGTAGTCTTATTTAAAAACGAAAAATTCAAAATTGCGCTTCTTAAAATGCAATGCTTCATCATACTGCAATACTTTTTCATTTTAATTCAAGACTTAACAACCGAATTAATGTCTGGCAAATTCATTTTTAGTTTTTCTTATATTTAAAGAACATAATATTAAAATTACTGACATTCTAAAATACTTTGAAATTTTTATAAAAAAAAACTTAAAATCGCGTCTGGCACATAGTTAGCAATGTGAAAAATGTCTGGCAATAAAAAAAGTATGTCAAGTAGACTTATTTAAAAAGGAAAAATTAAAAATTGCGCTTCTTAAAATGCAATGCTTCATCATACTGCAATACTTTTTCATTTTAATTCAAGACTTAACAACCGAATTAATGTCTGGCAAATTCATTTTTAGTTTTTCTTATATTTAAAGAACATAATATTAAAATTACAGACATTCTAAAATACTTTGAAATTTTTATAAAAAAAACTTAAAATCGCGTCTGGCACATAGTTAGCAATGTGAAAAATGTCTGGCAATAAAAAAAGTATGTCAGGTAGACTTATTTAAAAACGAAAAATTAAAAATTACGCTTCTTAAAATGCTTTTAAAATCCAGGATTATTACCGGACAGATAGGATGCGCACTAATGAACGCAACCGCTACCGCCAGCCAGATTGCCCAGACTCTAACCGAAAGTGCAAGAAGGAAGACATATCACAAAATCAGCTGACCTAAAATTCTTTCTTTTCAAACGTTGCTACCTCCCGTACTATTGTGGCACGAGAATTTTATATATAGATATCAATTTAAAACATAACGTATAAGTTTGGTTCAAAATTAAATTGAAGTTATCTGGATCAATGTTCAACAAATTGTTGGAGTTGGAGTGGAAATTAAAATAGCATACGTTGGGAAGGGATGTACTCTGCAATTCCCAATAGTGATGATGCGATCCCAACTTCAACGTTGAGTTTTTCATTTTTACTTTATTTGTTGAGAAAGATTACTAACTTACTTACTAAATATAATGTTCTTTTTACGCCATTAATAAATCTTTACATATACAGCCCTGCGATTCTGTAACTCACTTTTCGAACTCACACAGCGGTTTTCGCGTCGGCGGTCGCTCTCAAATCAGTCGTGAAGCAGTCATTTTATGATTTGGCATTCTGAAAAGGTGGGAGCTTGTAGTTTATTGTTTATCAGAATGCCAAATCATAAAATGACTGCTTCACGACTGATTTGAGAGCGACCGCCGATGCGAAAACCGCTGTGTGAGTTCGTAAAGTGAGTTACAGAATCGCAGGGCAGTACTGATAATATTAGCTGGATTGGTAACAATAAAATGATTTTCTTCAACTATATAACATATATTTAATTATTTAATTTAATATATAACTAAGACAGTGATAAACTAAATAAAAATTGATGAAGTAACGCTTAACAGTTTAGTATTACTTATACACTTATAAAAACTTATGATTCACTATTTATTCCACTGAGGAATAAAATTTTGGGATAGGATTCAGAAACGTCTTAGCGCTAAGTTTAACTTCCATACATCAAAAATGTATTGGATTTTGACATACGGTACGGGAATTATGGCATAGTTCGTTTTTGAATCTCACCCTGACTTGGCTGTTGATATTGAGAGAACTGCTTTATATTATAACAATAATATAAAATTAATTTGAATTAAAATGGAAAAACACAATAATCATAACCAAACCTAAATTTTACATTTTAATATTTTGTTTATTATGTTTTTACTTGTATTTTATGGTTATGTTTGAATTTTTGTGCGTTATTATTTTGTGCGCTGTTCTATTATGGAGTAATAAATACTGTAAGATATGTTTGAATCATACAATGTGCAAATATACAGTTAGTAATTCTATACTACATAAATTGTTTAAATTATTAAATAAATAAATAATTTTCTGAGTCCCGGCACTGATCTCGTGACACTATCTGTCAATCCTCTTATCGTTTGAGAGTTCTGGAACAGAAAGCTCAAGAGATCGTATTGAAAAACACGAACAAAATTCTAAAATCTCTCTCTCTCTAAACAGATACAAATGCGATATACTCTGTCGGTTGTAATGAAGAGGGTCAACTTGGAACGGGGGATATGGAGTCACACACTGTACCACAGTATATTGAACTTACAGTGGACCAGGCTATTCGACAAGTGTCAGCGGGGAGCAATCATACTGCTATTCTTACTGGTTAGTTAATCAACAAAAATTAATTAAATAAAAAGAAGCATTCAAGCAGAAAGTGATCTGAGACGTTCTATATTGGATATATTTGCACAAATCAACAGAATAACAGCAGCATATGCTACTTAATATTATAAACCCGTAAGTTTGTAAGTATGGATGGATGGTTGTTACTCTTTCATGTAAAAACTACAAAATGGATTTTAATGAAACTTTACAATAATATGGCTTATACATCAGAATAATACATAGGCTACAATTTATAAAGATATTGTGTGAATTGTCCAAAATATCAAGTAAGTAGGAAAAAATCTACCATCTGCGAGCTATTCTGGCGTGCGCTGCCAAAACCGCTAGAGTTACACATACGTTATGTATGATGGAGATGTTTATCTTAAACAGTCCTACAAAAAAGCCCGTTTATATATCTATGTCTTATGTGTAAGCCATTATAGCCAAAATAGTGAACCATGACTACTACAAAATTTTATAATTTATTTCAAATGCACATTTGGTAATAATAAATTGATTCCTAAATGAAAATATACTACTTACTATAAGATACTTTTATCGCTTTTGGTATTAAAAGTATGTCTTTCACGCTACATTATTTGAACAAATATTATTTCAATGCTGCGCAGACGAAGTCGCTGGCACTGCCTTATATCATATGAAAAGACGCTCATGATTCAACAATTTTAAGAAGCAAGGAGCATTTTGCATAAATTTCAATATCTCTTATTTTAATCTCTCTTTCTTATTTCTTTTTTATTGTCTGATACAAAAGTATATATGTTGACCAGATAACATAGAGCTTTCTTACTACAGACGACGGCCGAGTATTCATGTGTGGGTCCAATACCGAAGGTCAGCTTGGACTGGGCGAGGACACTCGCACCTCCCTTAAGTTTACTGAACTCAAGTTCATGGAGACAATAGCCTTTGTTGAATGCGGGTATTATCACACTGTTTTTATTACTGGTAAGTAGGCTAAAATTTTCTAAAATTTTTCATAAGACCAAAGTTATCTATTAATGGGACAAGGCAAACGCATCACTTCGAATTATTTAACCGCCGGTGTACACCTGTAACTCCTTTAATTTTTCTGGTGTTACAATATCTAATTAGAGAATATACCTTTAATCGCAGTAAACGTGAATTTATATGTTATAGAATCAAAACCGTTTACGACGATCGTTTAAAACAACATACCGGTTATATTGACTAAAATCAAAGGACCCGGCTGAATTCTATTAGACCGCCTTAAAAAAAAAAAAGATTTTGTTAATGTAGAAAAATGATAATTATATTTACGTTCTTTTTTATAATTTTCATGTGAAATAAATAAAATTTAGTTTTATTTTATACATGAGTATTGAGTATAGTAATCACACATTCAATAATAAGTATGTATTAGGTACTTAATAACAACGTCATCGGCTGTTATGACTATCGGTTTTTACGACCAAATATGAGTAGTCCCTTCGATGTCGTTGTAAGATTTTGACTGCTTGATGCTTCTAGACGAACATCAGTCGAGAGACTAATAAGATGTTTTCAGTTTTCTTAAATTATTCTCTACTTTATCATTATTGTACGAGTATCTTACAGCTAAAGGAGCAGTATTTGTAACGGGGGACAATGAAAACCAAAAGTTGGGGATTCCAGACACAGCCTCCACAATTTACGTACCTCAAGTACTTCCACTCAACATAGAAGTTAAGAGTGCCTGTTGTGGTGCCAATCACACTTTCCTTCTCTCAATGGACGAAACAAAAATTTTGGCTTTTGGATCGAATGAGAAGGGGCAATTAGGAATGCCTAATACAATTGACAACGTAATAAAGCCGACAGAAATTAATATGGAAAAATTGTTCGACGGCTTTCAGTTGAAGTTAGTAGCTTGCGGGGCAATGCACACTGCATTTGTAACTGGTAATTGTATTATTATAAAATAAATTTAGCTATTATATATAATGTATAACAAATGATATTCAGTGTTAATAATACTTTCAGACCATGGGTTACTATACACATGTGGCGAGCCGCGTCACAGTAAACTTTGTTTGGACGAAATTGACGCCGACAGCTCAAACGATTTCCCCAATCAATACTCGCCGAAGCGGGTCAGTGCTATGAATGGCTTTGTTGTTGATAACGTGGCTTGTGGTGGCTGTCACACGCTACTTACAGCAACCAAAGGCTCCAACGCAGACTTCACCAATAATGATTTTATTGTAAACCAGTCGAAGCCGATATCTATCACAGAACTACCTCCTTTACAAAAAATTCCAACAATGAAATCTGACGAAAAAATGGACTTAGAAAAACCAACAGAGGAAACAAATAACGAAGACATCGGATCTATCGATTCATTAGAAGCTAATGTTAGCGGTTCACATATAGTCAATATAAACGACCTTGAAACAACAAGTATGCATGATGTACTAGATTTAAAGACCGATGAACCTGATAACAAGGTAATTGACGTTTCAACCGCTATTGAAAATGAAATTTCATCTACCACTGCATCTATAGAGACCACAATCGAAAATTTAATCACCACTGCCGACCATAAAAGCTCATCTATCGAAAAGGGTATGTCGGAAATGGCAGAAAAGGCAGAAGAAATAAAAGATAAAGCAGTAATCGAAATAAAAAGTATGGAAGACAAAGCTAATGAGAAATTTGAAAACATTATTCATACTGTAAAAGAGACCACGAATGACAATATAGTTAAAGTAGAAGAAGTGATTACTAAAACGGTGGCTTCTATAGATCCTGGTTTTCATAAGGAAAACAAAGTATTAGAAGTTCCGGATAAAACTGAGCTTACACACTCTCCTCCGCCGAAGACTCCAATAATACAAGACCTTTTGGAAATACCAGATATATCTCATATGAGCCCCAATATAAGTAAGCACAGTGATCAAAAGAGCGATGGAGAGCAGTCCGAAAATGAAACAATTCCTTGTGGCTCTGACAAATCCAGCCCTCAAGCTAAAACGAAGACTCAAGCAGTTATGCCAATTGTAAGAAATGAAGATCATATAGATCATGAAGACGTCGTTGTAAATAAAATTGAAGAAAAAGGTCGTTTTGCACGTATGTTTCAGTCAATTCGAGATAAAGAAAACTCCTGCATTGGTAAAGGGAAAGTGATAGAAGAAAAAGTTACTGGTAAGATCATATTGTTATCTAATATATTAATAATGGCGATACAAATAATAAGACAAATCAAAATTAGAAAAACCCTTTTTTTATTTCTATTATTTTTTAATAATATTTCTTAATGTATGACATATAATTACGTGTTAATTTGCTCCAAACTTTGTAACCTATATGCAATACTAATTCTTAGGTTATTCCAGAAGATTCTGGTCGTGTTTTTGTTTGCTTAAATGTCATGGATATTTTCAGAAAACGTACACAAAGGTCTCGAAACAGCAGAAGAAACTGTTCATAAATTAGAGGAGACTGTGGAAACGGAAATTCGGAATCAAACAAATTCGCGAACTTGCAATATATTGTAATGAATAAATGTAAGCTTAAACTTATAAACGTCTTTCAACTGTAACAGACATGCATTTGTCCTGTCATACCATTAAATTATGCACCTACTGCAAAATAATAAAATAATTATATTGGAAGAAGTCTACATTGTCAAGAAAAGTGGAGATGCGTTTAGATTAGGCATAAGTTAATTTTTAATCTTTCTATCGTTGTACAGTGTTTCTGATTAAACTTTTATTGATGTAATATTTTGTTTTTTTTAATGAAATACACATCTACAACTACACACCAAGGATAAATTCTTCTTCTTCTTCATATGGGCTTCGGAAACATAGCAATAAAATAAATATGAAATGTATTGTTTAATACATTTAGAATATTATATAAGCTACGAGTTGCTTGTAGCTTCAACGAGGCACAACATGGAAATTGGGCATTTGGGCGTCAATGAATTATGGGATGGGAAAACATAAATATATACATTTCTAAAACAGCTAGCCCAAACAAGAACCAGCATGTGTAACGAAAAATCCCTTGTGTTTAATTAATTAACAAAGTGCATTAAAATCTAAAGGAAAATTAAAAAACATCAGCCTCTAAGAATTTTCGTAAGAACGAAAAACTGCGCCGCAGCAAAAGAACTTAATGTGTTGACGTTAGCGTTTTAAACAGAGTTCGATGTTTTATACTAGCTTCGTAAATAATATAACTGATTTTATGCAGAATCAATGTACCATTTTTAAAATATACAGAAATATCTAAAAAAAGGCGGCATCCATCGATATCTGAAACATCGCCAGTGGTCTAAGACCGACTATGTACAACAATAATTAGTTACTAATAAACTTTATATGACTAGAATGCGCCTTGCGCTACATAATCGAAAATGGGATTTGACACACCAACGGAGCGTGGAGTTGAATTACGCTGCGCAAATATGATTTACACAGCTAGACTACAAATCAAATCAAATCATAATCATTTATTCATATAGGTAACAAAATGCACACTTATGAACGTCAAAAAAGAAATACATATGAAATGCTTCTAATTTTACATTTACTGCCAGTTTTCAAATTGCCCTTGGCGTAGAACGGAAGAGAAACCTGGCAATAAACTCTCCGCCAGTCTTTTTAATCGCCATTTTTTGTTTTACACAGTGTTTGTAAGGAGCTGCAACCATTACACCATGTTCCACATGACATCTTTACGTAATTAAAAGTTAATTAAAAATATAATAAAAACAACGATTTGTCCTGTATCAGCAGTGTGCATGGTGAAATAGGAGCACGCACTTACATTCTCGTGGGATCAACACGCAAATACATAGTCGAAATACTAACGTTCACGAGTATGGCGCTTGGCCAGCCATCGGCCCCCTCACCATATTTTTGGGAGAGAGACAACCCGACACATGGGCGCCTTCGTACTTCGTACCAGAACGTCATCCTAACACCTTATTATTATGGAGATAAACACAATAGCAGCTTAATAAGTTGATATGAGCGTATATAGGGATCTGTAGAAATTATCCAACGGTTTTAAGAGTTCAAAGACGGTGCACTAATTACACTTTCCGGAAGCCTATTCCGGTCAGCCACTACTCCGTTTGAGAGAAATTTCTTTAGGGAATTTGTATTATATTGAGTAGTCTTCGGTTTTACAGTACCGAAGACTACTCAATATAATTTTACAGTTTACCCCTCAAATGTGTAGTCACACTTAAAATAAGGACCTTCTCAATTCTTGAAACGCTTTAGTGGCCAGTAAGGATTTTTTAGGTTTCAATGAGATTCTTAATCGCCTACTTCCTAAATCAGTAAGATCAAGTGCTTTCAGACGCTCTATTTTCGTGGCTTTTCTTTGAACCCTTTTAAGCATATTAATATATTTTATGAAATAAGGATCCTAGTTGGATAGGTAACATTTATATATCTTTAATGTGTTAAGTAAGTTAAGTAAGGGATAAAGAGAAATGAAACGAAATCTAAAAATTTATTTTTTATATTTTTACTTGATAAACAAATTACATAAAACAATACAAACAAAATACTGAAAATATATGTGGGCATTTGTGTCTTAACTAATTTCTGCGTAAAAACTAACCTATATAAAAAATAACCTGTATGTTTTTGTTTTCAAAATTAAGACGTTCATTGTAAGATTGTAAATGTGTAATAAGTGTATTTTTAATTTATAGTTATAGAAAATCTACTACTAGTAGTAATAACGATTGGTTTGGATATACAAACTGAAACATGTCAATTTTATTCCGATAATGGAGTGGTACAAACTAAAACAATTTTTTTTTTTCAATTAAATTAAATTAAAAAATATATTATCATTATCGTCACATAATCCTTAATATAATCTCAATAGTTATGGCACATTAAATTATGATTTAAGATATATATTTATCATGTGAAATGAAAGAAACAAATTTAGAATGAAAAATCGTCTTCAGTTGGTAATGCTAACAAAGCAATTGCAACTAAAAACTATTTGTTTAACATTCGATTGCTATGCGAAACAATTGAAGTTGTATCTCTGGGGCTTGAGACAAACTTTACTTGTCAATGCGTCTTACGCCACACGAGTATGGAAATGGTCACGTGGTCGTTTTAACGGGTCACGCCAAAGGTAAAGAGATTTGACTCAGGCCATTGTACGGTGTCTAAGAATAATGGCAGAAATTTGACGTTCATTAAACGATTATTTAATGTGCACATATTACAATAATTCAGCGCTATACAATTACCAAAATCTTACATAGTAATCATATTAACATTTTTCATATGCAAATGAAAGTTTATTCTGCCTATATTATGAGATTCAATATTATCTTTCAAGACCCTGCCGATTTCTCTAACTTTCTTTTGATTCGCTCCATCTCCCAACCATAGACCTGAAAAGTTTTGAATTCTATAGTTGAGTAGTTATATAATCTGTCTCTATTGGAAAGTATTTTCTATACATACATTGGCCTAAAGGTCTAGATACCAGGCCATAAACTCAACAAAAAAAATGTCGTAAAATCAAGCTATCGAAATATAAAGTTAATGATAGAATATGAAAAAATTAAGAAGTGGCAAAGAGCGTGTATGGAACCAAACGGGAACATGAATTAACTCTTTAGTTTTTGTATTTTGTATAGAATACGTGTATAAACTCGTGTAAGAAGTTATACTTCTTTGGCATTATTAAAAATAGTTTTTGATTGCATGCAAATAATTAATTACAATTAAATAATTAAAGACTGGAAAAGGAGTCATTATAGTCAATAAAGTTCAGTTTACATTTGAAAAATTAAATAAATAAATATTTATTATTATTCTCTTACATTAATTAGTTTAGTTAACATAAATTCTATTATTATTCGAATGTTGTTTTTAAATTATGTCCAATGCCGTAGCATCTTCATTCTGTTAATTTTGTGTCACGGTTCGCGCGCATCGTAAAATTTCACTCTCATCAATTTTTCATAACGCGCCTAAAGAAGTATAACTTCAAAAATTTGTCGTTTTAAATTTAAAAATATACAACTCAAAATTCTTACCAATTTTACACTTAGATCGAATATTGACCACTGCTCCACATATTATATCTCCGTGAGGCAGATTTTCACCGATCATCAAAAGTAACTGAAAATAAAATTATCATCACAAAAGATTATCAAGTATTCATCCAGCGTTATGTCAGTTTCTGACATCTCGTACGCATAGACTTGTTAAAATTAACGAATACTGTATGAACGAGATATCTTTGGGGTTTGAGACAAAATTCAAACGTTCGCTCGCGCTTTGTTACATGTCATTTGGCATTAGTGGGCCACGCCTATCAAAAAGTGACTTTGGCTATTCACTTATTCAGTCAATATATTTTTTACATACGAATTCATTATAATTAATATGATTGTTTCACTGCATTCGTAAATACCCAGCAATATGGTAAAGTTTGAAATTTTCATTTTTACTAAGAGTTATTTGATATGCAGTTTTGTTTATAGATAGGAACTTAAGATAATGCATAAAAATTAAACTTTTTGTCTTTACATTATGACTAAAGGTTTATTGTATTATTAATTAAAGCCATGAAATATCTATAATACCTACTGTAACCAATATAGGTTGACTGCAATGTTTCTCGATTAATTTACATGAAGTTACTCTCGTATTCAGGAGGCGAAACCTTTTTTCATGCCGTTTCAAAATGTAGTCGATTGGTTCATATTCATGAAAGCCGTTTTCATTACTGGTCAAATGTCGTAAAACGGCAATGGGAAGACGTCTAAGTTATATGTTATAGGTTTTTAAAAAGTTTTAATAAACTTTAGTAAACTAGATTACGCGTCCCGACATAAACTAATTCTTTTCTGCTTAATAAATTTAATTCACGCAACGCTGTATATCATATCTACGTTAAAATTATCTTACCCACAATAAAAAGATGAGATTGAAGACACTTTATTCTATTTATAATAATTAATCGTATTCTTTTACAATTAACATAACATAACATTTTCAGATTGCTTTTGTTCGGGAAGAAAACCATATTGACTAAAATCTGAAGATTCCCATTTAACTCGGTCGTGTCCTATTTGGCTAACAATGAGATTAAGATTATAAGTAATCTATACTTATATTATAAAGAGGAAACATTTGTGTTTTTGTATGTATATATTTTGTATGTATGTTTGTAATGTTTTCACACAAAACTACTGGACCGATTTCAAAAATTCTTTCACCGTTAGAAAGCTGCATATTCGCTGACTGACGTAGGTTAAAATAGGGATCCTTAATAAAAATGTAATAATATAATCCAAGGTGTGAAAAAATCCATAAAAAATCTGTCATCGCGTGCGCTGTGTAAACTATTGTTGATAGAACTAAAACAAATTCGTACAGTATTATAGAACGTATCAATATCTACAAAAACAATGTTTTACCCATATGCAATTGTATGTTGGCATATCCCGAGTCGGAAGTCGGAAAATTATTCTCTGCCACAAAACAAAACTACGTCAAATGTTGTGTATAGGGAAGTTCTGAAACACTGAAGTTCTACAAATAAATCTCTAATATTACAGACGAAAATTTCGCATTTTGAATTTCTGTTTTTATTTTGAACAATTAATCAAGTAAAAAATTCCTAGACTGCTTAAAAAAATCTTTCATACCCACTTGAAATCAAGAATTTTCAATACCTGTAGACTATTTTAAAATTTACTAGTGTCGGACATTCTACGTAAATAATGTTACGAGTTTAAAAATGTATTAGATATATGTACATTCGTTGTAAAGTAAAATCTGTGTATTGATTAGATTAAGTCTCAATAAAGCTAATAGTCTAAAAGGAAGTAATTAAAAACTAAGTAAAATCAAACGTTTATGATAACAAAAATATATCTATAGTCCGACTTAGTTGACTTTCCACTACCACGAGATCGGTATTCATGCGAGTGAAACCGCGGGCATTGCTAGTATATAAATATTGAAATGAAATTTAAGGTTTTTTTTATTTTATTTAATATTGAAGATACTTTATCCTTTATCTTAGCTTACACCATTGTTTTAGTTTGCGCATATACTTGTAAGGAAGTTTTTTATCTGCTTCCATAATTTGCCAGGCATTTAAAATTTAATATGTAACAGATACGTAAACAAACACGCTACGTGGTGACGTAAACAAAAGCCAGCGCAAAGTAGCAGCGTTTGAACAGATCAAATTTATTTGATGTTTGCATTTCATTTCAGGATGAAACAATTTACAAATTCACTATTATTTATTTTAATTTAAAATAGTAAAACATACGTACCAAAAGCAACCACACCTCGTCTAAACGGCTTAGATTTTTTTTTTCTACATTGATAATCCACCTTCCTCCATTCTTATTAGCTGGATGTTCCCACTTTGGTTGTATGCCCTTTTTGAACATTAAATAATCCTGCCCTGATTTCATCTCAGAAGGCCTCTTTATGTGGTGAATAATACTGAAAAAATACTCGTAAGTCAAATATTGACAGCTTCTTGGCGCAAGCGACGCGTAAAATTGAATGCCATCAAAAACATAACATAAAAAAATGTTTACTATGGAATATAAGAGACAGGTATCACTTATTCCACGTTATTGAATGTGAATCGGAAGACATTCATACTCATCGGCAAAGAAGACAGAGGCTGTAGGCCAAGAACCGAATGTTATGTTTTCATAATCTTCTAATATTATCCACAACGAAGTTATCGAAAATGAACTTCGAGAAAAAGATGGCAGCGCCGCTTTATTGTTCGACTTGGCATTCAAGTAATAGGAAATTATTGTGAAAATTTGGGCACCCTCGGCGGAAACAAGCATCGTTTTAATTTATATTTATAAAATGAAACTATTCTAAATATTTGGAATAGCAACTTTGCTTTGTTACTGTAAAAACATTATCGTTGATTTTTACGAACACTTATTGAAACTATCGTTAAGCTCTTGATACTATTTATGCTTATTGTTTGCGTCATCCTAATACTTAGAATCAAAATGAAAACCTCCAAAAATCTTCAACGGTTCCGAAATCCGCTGCACAAACTAAATTTTCTTCCCAGTCCTCTTTATCGTTCGTAAATACCCATAAGTTCCAGTGGTATTCTAAAGGGTGGTAATAATCATTTGTTAAGGCCGTAGTATTCATCTCAACTGCTTTTAAGTTCTAAAATACAATGTTTTAAATTAACGAAGTTTATAGGTAATTTATGAGTCGTTAAATGTTACAGATCGTAGTTCGTACCCAAAATTGCAACTGTTTGTCCATATTCACTTTACTTGTTATAGTTATAAAATATACCAACCAGAATCGTTAAAATTTCGGTCTTTGGGAAAGTTGGTTTAATGAAAGTTAAAAATCGTGGCAAATAATTATGCTGTATTTGTGTAAACTATAACGTAAATATAAAAGAGAGCTTACCTCGCTGTTTGATGCCATAGATCACTCTTTATTATTATCTGCTAAGTGAGAGTATCAATGTAATTAACTATTAGAACAGGACTGAACTTGACGAACGATTTAATATTACTATAACAAATATCAACTATGATTTCGGCCCTCCTGCTCCGTGACTCATATATTATACCTACTTTGTAAATAAATTTTATAATTCTGGGAACCCAGTACACTATACTCTATGAAATAAAATTCCCCAAACAATATTTGTGAAGACGTGTTGCTATTGAAAAAAATATTAATTGCATTGATAACATAGCCGGTCCTTATCAAGCTCTGCTCTGCACCAATTATTTTATCTCTAATTCGATAGATCACATTTGACATCTGTCAATTTTAGCTTCATACAACGTTCACTGATGCAACATTGTAACAACGTCAGTATTATGAGTAAAAGTAAATCGTGATTCGTGAAACTACCTTCTATTGTCACTATGTAATCGGAATTGAATAAAGTTATATCAATATATAGCAATTGTACACTTTGAAATATATATTACATGTGAACTATTCAATTGGCGCTACTTTAATTTGTCATATGTTTGCACCCTTTACTCTAAAACCACCTATAATGATGATGATATTAATTTATCCCTAATGGGAAAGGCAAAGGACTTTGATCCATACAGCCAGGTCTTGTAATTGGTAATAATTGGAGAATTTTGGTAGAACCACATACTATAAACTAACACGACTTGCTTACGCGTCACGGACTAGCACTCGCTAATAATAAAAAAACATATTATTTTTAAAATTTTAAGTTTTTTGTAAGTAGAAATCCAATGTAAATTCCTGAATTGATGAAATATACATTAACAATATATCAAAGCTTCATGTTATTAAGATTGTTTGTTAAAAGTAACCACGATTATAAATAATTTTAATGTTTGTTGAGAGGCATTTGCATAATGAAACTTGATAGAGCAAATTCACTACTGACATTCCAACATTTGGTAAATCACTTGCGATCTATCGATTATAAATAATTTTAATGTTTGTTGAGAGGCATTTGCATAATGAAACTTGATAGAGCAAATTCACTACTGACATTCCAACATTTGGTAAATCACTTGCGATCTATCACTTTTTAATATGAAAGGTAAAATAAATACACACATGCTTTAGTATTTTTATATGAAATACCAAAATATAGTCTATTGAACACTGAGGACAATTTAAGCAATGCATAAGACATTTTAGTACCAAGAATTAACAGAGGTGCTACAAAGCTGGAGTACAGTATTAAAAATTACAACCAAGACATACTTATTTGGCCTTAGCCCTTAATGAGTAAATAGAAACCTATATATATATTTTAAAATTAATCCACACTGGTTAGCTGTTAAATAACAAAACTTGTATTTTACGAACTTATTAAAAATTGAAATTAAACTAGCTCTAAGTCATGTCACAGGTTGACTACCAATGTACACTGTTACTATTTTCTTAATATTTCATAAGCAAATATTGCTTGTCGAGCATGTTTCTTTCAAATAAAGTATTTAATATTAATCTAAACCTTTTAAATTATTTATCATAGTACCATCCAACAAACATACAGTTTAGTACTTCCACTCATTAGTCAAACTCGCTTAGTGAGAATTCATGAAACGTCAACCTAATATTGTAAGTAGTTTTAATATTTAGTAACAGACTTCACACTTTGTTATACCACAATTTTTCCAACAACTACAATAGAGATGTCAGTTACAGACGAAACAGACAACAATCTCCCCATACTGTAGAAAGTTAAAATTACATGAAAAAAAAAAGCAACACATTCGATTGATAACCTATTTCGTTGGTTAATGACAGTTGACTCCCTTGCCATCATATTTTACTCGGTTAAAAATTGTACTGTTAATACTTAAGAAAGTCGGTCTTCTAATTGTATGAAGTGCAGTCAGTCATAAATTAACTTAAAACCAATGATATTATAATGTTATCCAAGAACTCTTTCAATAAAGGAGACAGACAATATAAAACATTGCGTTTTCACAATATAATATCATTGTTTATAATTTAATCCTAGTTACATTTATGGTTCCTTATCACAATTTGGTTACACAGATTATGGAGACAACAAAATATAGTTCAATTTCTATACAGTGTGTGCTATCACATTGACATTTCACAAGTTAAATTATTTCCAACACAACATTGGAATAACAATTCCATTCCGTTGGACATAAACCACATAACAATTTTGTATGGTTTGCGAGACTGGATGGAATTGATTGTATAGTGGATGCTAGACAGTGTAGAGGTTCTTGGTGGAAGATGAGTGCTTGACCATGGTATCACGATGAACTTGGAAGCCAATCTTTCCATGAATCCCGAGCTGGTCTTTTAATTTCCTACCAATGTCCAAGACAGCCTGCTGCTTGGATGTGTCTGCAGTCCACACAGCTGAAAAGTTTATACAATAATTATTGTCAATATTAATTAAACTTAATCAAGCTCATTATTAAATGTCGAATTAAAATAATAACATTTTGGTTACCATGCTTATTATTAATATGAAATTAAAATTCTAATCCATATTGTATTATATTTTCTAATAATTGTATGAGATTAAAACTCAGCACACTAAACTATTATTGATCGGAATAAAAGTAAGTAAAAAAGTGTTTATCTAATAAACTTCTGTAAAACACTGTTATATCAAACAATATTTAACCAAAACTTCAGAATACAAATATTTTATCATAAAAACTAAGGTATCTACTATATCATATAACTATAGTATAACATATCATAAAACTAAACTGTATTTCTTAATACAAAAAAGTTGTAAATAATTCAGCTGTTTGAAACTAAGATGTATATAAAAGTTACAAGACAATTACCAATTTTATCTAATTTTGGTCTAACATTAACAACAGCCCCACAGATTTCTTCAGGATGTTCAAAGTTTTCTCCAATTAATAGAAGTACCTGCAAGTTTTAAATTGCTATTAAATATGTGCCTCTTCAAGAGTGGGTAGACCTGCCTAGCCTGATGTATATAATGAGAAAAAAATATGTAATATAGGGAGAAAAATATGCATCTTTAGCCTGCATAGCAGTAACATAAATTTTTAATATGATTTTTGATACAAGTTTGTTATGTCTAAAATTCTGTATCACTACTCGAAACTTCTTCCTTCCCTGATTAATAATAATAAGGCAGTGTCACTATTTTATCATTAGTAAATATGAAAGGATACTTACACAATCTAACCAGAATCGATCAAGGTCAGAATTACGTTTGCTCTTTTCAAGACTAATCAGCCATCTCCCACCCATTTTGTTAGCATCATCTTCCCACATGGGTCGAATTCCTTTTTTGAATACGGCATAGTCATGGCCTTGGCGTAACTCAGATGGGGCTTTAATATGGTGGAAAAGCCTAGAATAAACAAGTTTTTGTCCTTTGTATTATAATGACGATGATGATGTTGGAACAATAGATCATGAGAAAGATTTATTTAATCATAAAATACTGTGTTTATATTATATATAACATATTGTGTTAACTAGGTCAATCTATAAATACATTTAGATCCTATTTACATGAACTTAAATCTGTGCAACATACATATTACAGCAAGTGCAATTACAAACAATTTTATAAAAATAAAATTCATAAGGAATTCCCACATGGTATATATTAAAGCTCCTTTATCTTATTAGTATATCAATTTTCATGATTTAATCAAGCCTATTGGGATTTCATTATTATTATGTATTCATATTATAGTAATTAATGTAATTGAATTTGGTTTTTACCTCCAAAAATCTTCAACAGTGTCAAAGGTTGTTAATTCAATCTGATTCTCTTCCCATGTTTTTGTTCTGTCATTGTCGTAAAACCATAAGCTCCACGCATTCTGCAGAGGGTGCTTGATCAAAAACTCGGGTGGTATCTCTGCATTGTTTGTAGTTTTAGTCTCGGGACCTGCCGAACCCTTAAATACACAAGTCATTTTTTTTTACAAAATATAACCTAAGATATCCAATGAAAGCTAGAAGAAAACGTAAATTTATTTATCTTGTAACGTCAACTTAAACCGAAATAATGCACTAATTAAAAATAAAACTAATTAAATATGAATAACTTAAAAGTAATGCCGGAGAGAAAGTTAGCCTAGCCACATCAGCATATATTGAAGTTGAAATGTAATGAATCTGTTTAATATATTTATTATTGGAAATTTTTAACAAATTGAAGGTATTTTATATTTTCAAATACCTCAACTTCTTCAGCAGTATTCCCAGCCATATCTCAAAATTCTTTTCGCACCCTGATTTTTGCTAAAAGACGGATGGTAAAAATTTATGATGCCTAATAGCCGTGTCTGTCATAAGTCAATTGTCAGTTATCAGTTACTTTATTACTTGGTGATATTGAATCTTTGATTTCGAAAAAGGTTCTGCTTTAAGTTTAAAAAAAATTAATAATAACGAAAAAAATAAATAGATGATAATATTGAACTATTTTTGAACTGAAATTTTTTATGATGTGAATTTCTGGTTACAGCTAAGTGGAATTTTGCAATCGAAATTTTATGGTAACCCTCGTAATTTAAATTCATTTCATTCAAATTTCAAATTCATTCATTTTCAATTTTGTCTTTACAAAATTGCCGGTGCTAAAGTTTACGTACCAAATAATTAATCTATTTTATATAAAAACAATGTCCGTGCAAAGTGTGTTGATAGATTTTTCCTTAGATTCGGCTCGTTTGGCTGATGAAAGTGGTCAAAAATCTGTATTTGAACAGTTGCAAACAATGCTGAAAGAGTACATTCCTAATCTTTTATTAGCCGCTGAAATTAGTCTAGATGGTGGATCCCTGAAAATTTTAACTGGAACGAAAGGTGTTACAGTTTCTATAAGACTGTTTGACCGAGGTCTGGTTACTATAAATGTTGAATATTACAAAGACGACAGCGAAGATCCATTAATCACTTTCAAGGTTAGTTTAATTATAATGCAGGTATATCATAAACTCTTTTGCTTGATTTATAATTTGATACATTTTAGTCTATAGTTATTTTTGGGCTGGCGATCTGAGTGAGTTGTTGCCCCACATATTTTTATGGTGCCACTGGCAGTATTGTTGTGTACCGGGTTGTGCAGCTCCTTCAAAAATGGTTGATCTGCATGAGCTATTCGGGGCATGCTTGCCGTCTGCTGGCACAGGCTAACTCAGATCGATCTGGTTCTTTCTTCCAAAGACCAGTCCAGTAAATACTCTGCATTTGTTTACACCAATTTATTAATTTATTGTTGTATTATCTGGACTATAAAAGAGTCTACTAAGACCCCCGAGTTTGTTTCGACATTTCTTCTCAGGGTAGTCAGTTAGGAAATGTCGACTTCATCTAGCTTAGGAAGACATTGTAAAAGTGATTTATATAGTCCTACTTGCAAGAATAAACTATTTCATTTCATTTCAATTCACCTTCAGTAGTTCTGAAAATATACATATTTATTATCTAAGTACATTTAAAGTTTGGGGAATAGAAAAACATAGATTAAAATTTACCTTCATTTGTCTAAGACTCAAACTCAATTATTCAAATTTCACTTAATTCTAGGCAAATTAATTATAAAAAAAAACTAAAATATAAATGTATGACAAATTACTAAATATCTTGGAAAATGTTTCTACTTCATTGAACATAATCCTTAAAAAACTAAAATGATTGAGTATTCATTTGTTTTAGACTGAAAGAACTCCATTTGTAACATTTCAGTGTTATAGGCTTACATTATTGCCTCTAATTAAAAGGGGCTATAAGTATGATATTTATTTGACTAGTTCAGGTCAGAAATAAAAACACTATTGAATGTGTATTCCTCTTCGCCCTGGTTATGTCATTAATTCCTTAAATAAATGGCCTATTATAACTAATTATTGTGTTATATTTTGTAATTTTTCTAAAAGACATTATTATAAAATAATATCAGGTTTTGGAGATCCTGTTTTTAATTCTCAAGTTTTGTTTATTACCTGTAATTTTTAATGGAAACTTTTTGTAAGATTTTCTAATAATACATGTCTATTTTTTATGTTTTACATATTTAAAATAATTGATTATTAGTATTTATCCTCTATGTTGACTTAATTATAGGCATGAATTAATCAAAATGACTAATCTATATCCTAACATGAGTCTTCGAAAAGGAATTTGAGACATCAATCTAAAGTTCCTTATTTTTTTAATTTACCAAAATCTACAAATCAGTTTAAGAAACTTCTTCACATGGCTCCAAATAAAAAAAAATCACTCAAATGAACTAATGTGTAAGTGTGTGACCAAAAAAAGTTTCTTGTATGAAATCCTGCATTAATTTCTAATTATTACTTTTATTTTTTTCCTTAGTTAGCAAAAGAATTGGAAAGTAAGCTGAAGAAACATATCAAAGTATTGAAATCGCAGGCATTACCGCCATTAAAAAGATGCTTATTCGGTAGATATCTTCCATCATCAGGTAAATCTTTTTTTACCATTTATTATTTTAGTAATTTCTCAGTTTAACTTAGTTAAACCTAAGTTAGCCCTAGGAAACAAAAGGAATTAGCTAATTGCAAAGCATAAATTTGAACAGAAAATTATCTTTTGAATTGGTTATGTTCATTCAAAAATATTACAGCTAAAACTGCAATAAACAATCAAGGAGCTTATATCCTTTACAAAAATCTTTATTAAATTAAAAATTATTTCAGATGAAAGACTACTTGAGTATGATATTGATGCAACTCTATTTGATGAAGTGTCACCATTCCAACGAGTGCAAATTGTCCACTCCAAGATACTTGGCAATATGTTGGTGCTGGATGATTTACAGAGTAAGATTTTTTCCATTCTAAAACTGAACATTTGTATTACCAAAAATTTGTGGTAAATATCACAGCAAGACATTATTCAATGTCTTGCTAAGTACAATTGTGGATATTTAATTTATTATTTAATAAAAGAATTACATGCAAGTAAAAAACGAGTATGAAAATCCATCGCGTGAACCATACATTAGCTAACACATATGTATTGAAATACCAATATTATTATCGCAAGTTTGCGATATGGTAGCTGGAATTATAATCAGTATATGTTCTACCGTCAAATCAATTTTAGGTTTAATAAGTTTTTGAATCGAAAGACCTTTTGATTGTTTATATATTCATAATATCCATTCCAATTATATATTCATAATTTCATAAACGGTAGCCTGCAGTAGTTGCCTTATATGCCTGTTCCGACGATCTCGTTTCCCTACCTACGTAGTCGGTCCCAAAGTTCTGTCATAAATGGAAATAATCATAAAAACAAAAGTACTGATCAGTTTTTAATGAGTGATATATCAATTCATAGTACATTAATTAAGGAATAGAAATAGCATAAACTTATTCGAAATGACCTCCCTTATTTTTAATACAGGCCCTTAAGCGCCGCGGCCAGTCGTCTATCGCAGCACGCACCATATTCATGTCGATTTCAGTGACTGAGTTTTTTAAAGACGACTGCAGACTCTCCAAATTTTTATGGGGTGTATCACAGACCTTCCTCTCTAAGACCTGCCAAAATTTATAGTCCAAAGGATTAAGCTCCGGACAGGAGGAAGGCCAATCCTCATGTCTAATTAAATCGATGTTTTGACGCTCAAACCAGGCTTTAGTGGTCTTGGCTTTGTATGCAGGCTCAGAGTACTGCTGGAACACGAAGTGATGTCCCGCAAATAGGGTGCTGGACAGGTCTTTGACAAGGCGATCCAAAACCGTCTCTCGGTACACTTTAGCTCTGGTTTTGACCCCCTTTTTGCAAAAATGAACCTCAGTTAGCCCGTAATAGGACACTCCCAACCAGACCATTACTGATGATGGATGATGTCCATGTTGTACCCTTGGAACTTTATTTTTAGCTTCTTCAGAACTCCTAGCGTACACTGTATCAATCTGTTTATTGTACTTCTCTTCATTATCGAAATTTTTTTCGTCCGTAAAGAGGATATCACGGTGTCGGTTTTTCGCGTACCGCTTAAACAACACCCGCGATCTCTTAAGCCTTATTGCTTTTAGACGAGCATTAAGTAAGTTCCCACTTTTTTTTTGTATGCTCGTAGACCAAGATCTTCATTTAAAACCTTTTTTATTGTTTTCCTACTGACACCCATCTGCAAAGCCATCAACTTCTGTTTTCGGACAGAATTTCTTACTATCCGCGCTTTGATAGCTTTGATTACTGCTGGTGTTCTTGCGGAGCGTGGCCGGCCAGTTCTTTTCTTGTCCTCAACACTGGAGACTTCAAGGTACCTATCAATAGTACCGTACACAAACCTAAGCGTTATATTAAAATTTTTGAGCAACTTGAAAATGGTACTCGGCGAGTGCCCACAGCGGTGCAACACAATAACAACTATTCGGTCTTCTTTCAATGTCCACTCCGTCGTGAAAACTTACTGAAAGTTATTGTTTTTTATTTTAAAACAATAGTCAAACATTCCAAAATAGAATGCAATAACTTTTTTATAAAATCCTGCTCGAAATATAGAAATAATGTGCCAGTGACAGAACTTTGGGACCAACTACCTATATTAAAAACAAAATCTAAGACAGCACCAACAACTTTCTGTATACTGAGTCCATCGACTTTTGGCGCTTATAAAACTAAAGTAAGCAAATGTATCGTGTGTATTGAATTTTGATATGATTTTGGGAAAGGTCTAGTTTCTTAACCAATTTTTCCAGCACCTCAGACCTTCGTTCATTTCATTACTCAATATTTTTAGTTTACAAATTTAATATCATTAGTTAAGCTAAGGAGGTTTTAATGTCGATATATTTTGTTTTGTACTAAATCAACGAACGTACAACTATTATAATCTTGCACTCTTAATCTTCAAACTAGCTATAAACGAAATTATGTTGAGTAAATATTTTATTTTATGCATTTGAAAACGCGCAGTGTTGGGACTTAGTGGGTTTAGCGTGCGACTCTCATCCGTCGTCGTAGGTTCGATCCTCGGCTGTGCACCAATGGACTTTCTGTCTATGTGCGCATTTAACATAAGTTTATATTAAATATATTACCTACTTTGTTTTCAGATATTTCAGAAGCGGATCTCGTTTACACAGAAACATTAATGCAAAGAGGCAAAGAAAGCTACGAGGGAAAAGAAATCGTTATTCTCGGTAAGTTGTAAGCTACGAAAATATGGTCAATGGTCGGTTGGCGGGAATTATCTCTAGGTACATTGCAAATTGCTGCTCTTCCTACGATTTAAAGGGATGATCCTCGACCTCTCTTAACACTAATTGGCCCGAAGCCAGCTAGGGTCGATTTGTATATAACTTAGCGGTCGGCATAACTTCGTCTTCGTCTACGCTTTAAAGTCCAAGTGGGTGTCACTTTAACGTATTAATCTGTAAATTTTTAACTTTTATGTGATCTGTGCAAAACATGAAAATATAGGAAAAACTGACATACTTTATTGTTCACAAGATTATTAATATATGAAATTTAATTTGAAATAAATGAAATTCATAAACGGGTAACTAAAGTAATTGGTTTCACCTTAAAATTCACATGATAGTACTTATTTATTTATTTCGTACTCTTCATAATTTTTTAAATGACTTAATTAAAGTTATATACAATAATTAAAAAACTTAATTATTTTTATAATTAGATTTAGTTCACTACATGTTACGATAAGACTTTTTTTTATGTAATCAATATTATAGGTAAATTATTGTGTTTCCATGCCAGAACATTATGACTTAGTATAATAACGTGAGAACTTATGAAAAGTTAAAGAGTTGTTCGGATTAAAACCTGCAGCTGATTTTCGTCATCGGACGTCGAGGCACAATACAAAATACCTCCCGTATCACCTCGACGTCCGTCGTTCCACAACTAAGCGTTTTTTAAAGCAGTTTTTACTGAATTATTTCTGAACCAATTTGACTTATGGTCCTTCGAGAAAAAAGCGCACCAATTCTTAAAAGGCGAGCTACTTGCGAGCCTTCTGGCTATGTGAGTGCCCATGGGCGGTGGCCTGTTTAACATTAAAAAAATTAAGTCTGAATTTTTGTCTCCGTATATTGTACCCCGTTCACAAAATCTGCAAAATTGTGTTTACGCCGTGATAATGAAATACTTTAGTAAAACTATTCACTTACTATATATACTTTATTATGCAAAAGGGAGCCAATTTTTTACTTATCCCTTTTTTTTAAAGTAATAATAAATAACATAGTCGTTATATGTAGCTGCAATAATAAAACAGTTTATTATTGAGTTATCATATTTTGTTTTAGTTGTCTTAAGAACTGAGTATGCGCTAGCAATACACGAACACTGATCATTGTCTGTGTTGGCCTAATGGCTTCAGTGTGCGACTCTCATCCTTGAGGTCGTAGGTTCAAGCTGCTGCTTCCCCAGCTGGGCTTTTGGACTTTCTATGTCCGCATTTAATATTCGCTCAAACGGTGAAGAAAAACATCGTGAGGAAACCGGCTTGCCTTGGACTAAAAAAGTCGGCGGCGTGTGTCAGTCAAAGGAGCTTGATCACCTACTTGCCTATTGGATTGACAAATTATCATGAAACAGATTCAGAAATGTAAGGCCCAGACCTAAAAGGTTGTATCGCCACTGATTTATTACTAATCATTGTCTATTAGAGGAGCAAGTTAGCGTTGTCCAATGCCCGATAGGGCTGTTTAAGTACTCGTAGAAGGTTTTTGGGATTTTTTATGATATAGCATACAAAAATACATACAACCCTTAATTTTCACCCCTCTACGATCAACCCCTATTTTTTATTTGTTAATTAAAATCTTGACTTGAACTCTGAGGTTTATTATATAGAGAAAACTTCACAGAAAACCTAAAAAGTATTCATTCCAGAAAGCCGAACAGGCTCTGGGGTAGCATAGCAAAATGTTCAATGTTGGTATGTACTAGAATGCTATGGAGAAACTAAGTTCGCGGGGGCAGCTAGTAATTATATATAATATTATTAATAAAGTCAAAAAAGTGTAAAAGCCACTACAGATAAGACTCTAATTTCAGTGCATCCCCTCGTAAACTTTACTTTCGAACTCCGGCTGTGCATCAATGTTCGTATATAACAGTCGTTCGTACTGTGTAGGCAACAATCGTGAGGAGTTTCATGCGTTAGACAAATCGCGTGTGTCAGGCACAGAAGGCTGATCACCTACTTGCCTATTAGAAAATAATGATCACGGAAAAGATTCAGAAATCTGAAGTCCAGATTGGTTTTCTTTCAATCAGGTGGTGGTGACGGTGCTCTTCTGTACGAACTGCTGAAGGAGAACCCTCGCTATGTCTGGATGTTGGAAATAGATGAGATGGTGATGAAGGCCTGCAACAAGCACCTTAATTCCATCTGCGGAGATGTGCTGGAGCGGCGGAAGGGGTCTAACTATGAGGTAAAAAATAACTTGGCTCTTTGCGCGGCGATCATCCAGTTGTACCCTGGATCTTTGTCCCGGATTTTTTAGATACATTTGTTTGAATTTAGCATTCGAATCGTCAACGACCAGTCAGTTCACAATTCCTGAAAGGCTGGCAACGCCCTTGCGAACCTTTTGGCAATGTGAGTGGCCTTCTGGCAATGTCACTTAACATTAGGTGAACCTCCGGCCCGTTTCTCTCCTATTACATAAAAAAAACATTGTTTTCAGATAATAGTCGAAGATTGTATGTTAACTGTGAAGAAATTTATAATGGAAAACAAGAAAGTGGACTACATATTCGGCGACCTGACTGACATTCCGATCTCTGACGCGCCTTGCGGGGAACTTTGGGAATTTATGATTAACATTTTGAACTCGGCCTTTAAAATATTGAAGCCAACTGGGAAGTTTATGACTCACGTGAGTATATTTTTTAACCACTGAAATAGGTGTTGAATGTGTGATTTATGACAAGTTTATATTTATTTCATTACAAAACACAATCCTGTCCTAACAGGTGACCCTAAATCAACAAGAATGCATATCCAATAAAAAAGTCAATTCAAACACACGAAATTGAACAAAAAATTAATTAGGAAAAATTCGTTAAAGATTTGACAAAATGAATAAATTAAATAATTATTCTAGGCATTAAAAAATAGTTAAACATTTGTCAGTTTGCTCAACGGACAATATATATTTTTTTCCTAGTGTTAGCAAATAATATATGCCCTCTTTAGACGGTTAGTCCCAGATGTTAACACATGTAGTACGTCAATGTCACCTTCTGAAGTATACTTCAGGAACATTGAAGCTAAGGCACTGTAGTACTGCCGAATTGCTAAGTTGTAATTAAATAAGAATGTAATTCTTAAATAATTAAGACTTGATTTTAAAGATCCAAATGAAAATTCGCGTTGACGTGACAACGTCTTATAATTCGATGGAGCCGGCTGCAAACACGAAAAAACATGACGCATGCGGCGTTACATCGCTCTGAGGCGTTCCATTTAAGGTTTGAAGTGCAAGCGAGAGCGTGGAACGAGCGACAAAGAAGTACAATCGGCCTCCACATTCGACATCTATCTCTCTCCTACTTGAGTGAGCGATGCGTCCGCGTGGACAGCTGCTATACTATAATACATTTACATGTTTTCGTCAAGTATAAAATTAAAATTTTCTTTTGAAAAATGCAACCATTCCATCAGTATTTTCTTATGACGTTGTCACGTTCAACTATCGTCAGTAAACCGACTTTACAGACAACCGATTTTTTGACAAATAATATTTTAATCAAGCTTATAAAATATAAATATATAATATGTATGTAATCTACAGGTTTCATAAAAATTTAAAGGCCAGCAACGCACACACTAAAATGGGTGTCTATGGGTTGCGATGTCTGCCCTTTTTTGGCGTCTCGTATCTTCATTTGCTCGTTATTCTATTAAAAAAGTAAAAATAACTTTAGTAAAAAATTTGGTTGTCTGTAAAGTCGGTTACGGATAATTTGAATTGAATTATTATCACTAAATTATCATTATTTTGTATTTTAACATATATTTGCATTCGTTAATTAAAATATATTTTTACTTAAACTATATAGATTAATTACAAGTAACAATGTGCTATTAATTACTAAAGATAAATGCGTCACAAGCCAAACGCTTAGGCGGAACGTGACAATGAGTCATGATTTTTCGTACGTGCAGCTGGCGTTCATAGATTTATAAGACGTTATCACGTCAAAATGTATTTTTGCAGCGGGTACATAAACATTATATTCAAATAACTTTCGAAGACACTAACTACTTAAATTTATGTCTATAAAGTAAGCATGTCCTTTAAGAAAAGAGCGTACCAATTCTTAAAAGGCCGGCAACGCACTCGCGAGCCTTCTGGCAATGTTAAGTGATACCGTCGCCCATTAACATCAGATGAGCTTCCTGCCCGTCTGCCTTATAGTTGTACCGCCACTGATTTATTTTATTTATTTATAATTATATTCGGTACAGTCTATATAAAGTATAAAAATGATATACTCATGTACTAAAAATGCTGTGTATTCTTAAAAATAAAAATGATATTAACCTGTTCTTTTAGGGTAATGGGGCCACATCTTCTGATTCCTTGGAGATGTATGAACAAGTGCTGATGAAAATGAAGCCATCCGTCACATTCTCCAAGACTAAAGCCTTTGTGCCTTCGTTCTATGAGGACTGGATATTCTACCAGATAGGATTCACACAAGAATAACACGTAATATGGAATTGTAAATGTGAAATTGTGTATTAACTTGCGGGTACTTACAAAAAAACGTTTAAAAAAGGGTAGACGACATGTTTTGAGAAATCTTATATCCGGTCCGAATTTGAAATTTCATGTATTAACATATTAAATTTCAAAAACAATTTCACATTTATAACATTAATTAGTAACAAAACACATCTCATACAAAGAAGGGTTCCTATATAAAACGGATCGTAGCTAAATCGTTCCTATTATCCCTTAACTTTCTAATCCAAAAACCACGTTTTGTACCAATATTAGTTTAAGACTTCACGTTTGCCTCGACCAAATAGTTTTGATACATTTTACCTTAGGTTATAACAATACTGTTTGTAAGGGTTTTATAATGCTATTACCAAACTTCCACTAGAAGCTATAAATTGGGTAAAAGGATATAAACTAAATCATAATTAGAGAAAATAAATACTGAGACCAGATGCAACTTCCATAATTGTGCCCAACTGTAAGACGAAAAAACAATGTTTTCATTTCGTTATAAGAATAAAGACATAATTTCGTAGATTACACAAACAAACGCTGTTTCGTGTAAAACAGGTACACGCACATACAGACATACACGCATGTATTTAGTCCTTTTTTCGACGCTCTATCTAGAAACCCTTTAATCAGAAAAAAGTAGTTCAATTGGACCATTTTAACTGAGGTACTAAAGTCTCTTTTCATCACAGCATAAACAATGTGACAAAAAGAGACAAAAGTATTTAAGTTAGAACAGTGCAAATAAACTAATTTAGTTTTTATGGATAAAGGTATATGGATAAGAAATAATAGTATTTTTCATATGTATTAAACACGTAGCGGCATGTCAGCAGTATTAGCCGAGGTCTAAAATAACTTAAGGAAACCGGTACTTCTAAGGATTTATTGCTAAGTATTACTCTCTTATGTCAAAAACCTGACATAACGGGATACTTTTGACGTAAATGTCGACTCGCACGTCTCGTGTCAAACATCATGTGTTAATTTTCCATGGTGTCATTAAAGGCGATATCATTTAATTTCGAATAACACTAAACATCTGTTTTTTATTGAATAAAATACTGGACTGATTTCAAAATCTTCAACCATAAGAATTCCACTATTCAGAGGCTATATTTATTTCAAAAATATTTAACAAAAAGTGCCCAGTCATGCGAAATTGGGATTACCTAAACAAATTAACCAAACATTACAAACTTACCTAATTTATAGCTTTACGTGAATTACTATCTAAGTCACGGGCTTGATTCTCGTTTTTTAGCAACGATAATTTGAGTTTGTTATTTATGATATACAGGATGGACAAAAGCCACGGTCACCCTGTATATAAGGCACAAAATTCGGTATCATGTTAGCGAACATGAAACTTCATCTAAATTGATCGACAAAAAAGCGTTTTTGATTTTACATTAGTTTAATTTGTATGGAAAAGGTGACGCCTAATTAGACGTTACCATATATTATATCAATCATAAAATCAGACTTGATCCAAATATAATTTACCACGCAGGTAAAAAAAGATTTTCCATTATCGAATATAATTCTATCGAAGTTAAAAAATGAGAACCATAGCTCAGTTTTCAGAGTATTATTAAGTGCAAATAGCTATTAAATGGCGTGTTTCCTAACAGTATTTTGAATACAAGTCAAAAGAGATCTTAATTTAGTATTAGCATTGTCTACATCACACATTTAGTCATTTGGTTTTAGGACAAAAACTAAGGAATTTATTCAAACGATTAGGAAATCTATACAGACTATAATTTATAAAATTTAGTCTATGATTTATGTTTCCTAAATTTATTCAAAATTAACCTCTAATTATTCGTGTTTAATTCGGAGGTTAAAATATGATAAATGAATGCCATATTAGGTTGATTTGATAAATAAGTAGCCACAGTTTAACTTTTGAATGTTAGATTAAGATTTAAAAACGATGGCGCGAACTATGACTAGCGTAAAACCCAATACGTTTTTGACATACATCACTTAGCACTGAGGGCCGATTCACATTATCTTAGTGTTTAGGAGAGTATTTTAGTACAACTTGAAAGGCAAGTTCTTTAGTGCGTTGCGAGTGAACGTTTACATTTCTTACAGTAGAGTATCATTACAGCACCATAATGAACGCGCAACGACGTCGGCATTTACGCTCTATTCTACGCAAAATACTAACTGTAGTTATGGAACAAATAGAAGACGAGATTTTATTCGAAATAAATAAACTAAATATAAATAATAAATAAAATAGCTTATTTTAAGGCAGTGTATGCCGAATGCCTAGCCTGTTTGTTTTTGAATAAATTGTTTTTAACGTTCCACAAACATTCGTAAACAACAAATTCAGACACAAATTAGATAGTTATATCTTCCGACCATTTAGCCATCTTTAAAAATCAAAAAACACGCACGCGTTTCACGGCACTTGTGCGCTCTCCTAAAGATTTTACTAAATTACGTGTTTACACACAACGAGGGAAGATCTCGGGGGTTGCGCGGGCGCGGGAGGGGTATCACTTGAAACAAAAATAAAAAGCGATTCTATTTTGATTAAACTCGAAAGTCAAGTAGAACCGTACTAAAGCAAGTAGCGTTTACATGTTTCAAGTAAAGTACTATCCTAAAGCACTCTGCTAAACACTAAGATAATGTAAATCGGCCCTAAGCGGCTTTAAAGATATCTATAGCATAGTTTTGTGTTCGGTTACCAAAGATCTAACCCTTAATATTCAGAGTTGACAGTTGACACACGGAGTCATAGGTACTTAGCGATAATTCTGGACTCTCAAACTTTACCCTTAGTAAAATAAGTTCCAGCTTAACTTTCCAATATCCAATTGAATATGATTTTAAATATTAATGGTCGACAGTCATTTATGACATATGAGTTATGACATTACACAAAATGTTTTACTTGTCTATAAAAAATTCACATTCAAAAGATTATCGGAAAGTTGAGCGTAAGTTCCTTCGTGACGATACTGCCATTAAACCAGCTGTGCTCCTCTTACCATTGTAATTTGTTGTTTATTCATGTTATTATAATTATATCATCCAAATTGTGTTTTATTTTATGAAAATATCAAATCACTGTTAAGAGTGCTTATATTAAGAACAAATTAGACAGCTGAAACCGGCGATTATGTCTGCGAAAGGCGCTAACACAATACTTAACTATTATTTTCAAAATTGCTCTGGAATCGCGAACATAGGTCGTCGACTAAGTTCCGTATAGTTACTAAACTATTATATCCTACATTTTACTGCACCAAACTGTCGAAATATTTGTGCCTGATGATAATCACCTCCTGGATGACACTAGGTTAAAATGTCAACTATTTTTAAAATAATGATTTAATGAATAAAACAATTCAAATAACTCAAAAGCTTTTAATTGCATATAAATAGAACCCTTTTATAATATTATAATATTCTTATTACAAAAGGAAAATAACAAAATAATATCTTTTAATTCTATTAAGTTTTTATGTATATTCAGTAATGTGGAATGAAGTCATTTTAGATAATTGTACAAGGACTTTACTCATTTGAACTGAACTTTTAGAAGTCCAAATTAGTTGATTTTAAAATGGGTTTAGGATTATTATATACACTGTTAAAAAATTTATAAACTGGTTGTTGTTCCAAATTCAACATGGTGTTGTCTAAATGGTAATTTGAGTCTAGTGTAGACTTCATCTGTTTATTGCCTGTATCACATAGTGAACTTATAAAAGATCTGTACAAGTATATATTATTCAGCCTGTCTTAATCTAGCAAGTCTCTGTGTTAACTCATCTTGTTCCTGTGACACAACTGTTGCTGTTCCAATAGAGGTACTTGGTATTCCAGAAGGCAGTTCCATGTTAAGCTCCAAACTAAAATGAAATGGTTTTAGAACAAACAATAAATATAGGGCAAACAATGTTTCCTATTTTGGAAATGATTTTTCTTCCCTATAGTTATTTAATACAAAATTAATATATTAAGTATAGTAAAAAGCATAAAGGGGGACCACAAAAGGAGTTGATTGTTTTGACATCATTTCTGATAAGATTGTGTCTTATTTTTGTACTTGTGAGTCATTGTGCCTATATAATTAGAAGCTTAATGATCATAGGTTAGTCCAAAAGGTTGTCTAGTCAAGGATCTATTCCAGCCCTACAAACACTGCACCCCATTCACGGTTACAAAGGTAAATGAGTGGGCCTCTCATTAGATGAACACTAGCTATATTTTTTTCTATTGTTGATGTTAAGTTGATGCGGGGACTTACCACCACGGACCACCATACATCAGAAGTTGTGTGACCTTGCAAGATTTTGTACAATGGAATGGTGTGTGAATTTACTAAGATTGTAGTTAAAAATAACTACCGACTACATAAGACTTTAAAAAGAAAAAGAGGATGATGGAAATCCAAAAAAGCATACCCAGCTTCATCGGCCACTTGCTGCAAAAGATTATCAACATCACCCTGAGGCACTGTAGTTGTTGTGGTTTGTGACATAGCATTCTCCATGTATGATGATTGTACATCAAGATCCTCAAACTGACTCTCAAATTTGTCCATTAGGTTTGAGATTTTTTCCAAATTCATTGATTTCATTGCTGCATCCATTGCTTTAACAACACCCGCCATTGATGTTGTAACCTACAATAAAAAAGAACATGTTAAGTTATAATCAAAGTTAAGCAGGAGAAATGAAAATTGAATATATATACAATATGTGGTACTTACTATTTTGTGATTATATGTGTACATTTTATTTATTATTTGAAAAAAAGTTAATTAGTAAAAAAAATAGTTCATAAAACTGAATAACAAGAATAAAAAACTATATATTATGGGCTTATTACTATATCTGATTTAAGTCTTAGTCAAATCAGAAATTTGAACTAGTAGAACTTTAATAAGTTCTTCTCAGTCATACCTTTCTAGTAGTAAGAGCTGTCTGCACTCTACTTGATACAGCATCAACTCTTGCAGACATGCGTAGATAATTAAGAGCCTGATTCTTTTGACGTATTGCGTTCTCTGCATGAATTCTTGCACCCTCCATATTACCTTTTTGTATAGCCTTCTTCGCCTTCTCTTTTTCAATTTTTTCTTCCTTTTCACATTTTTTTGAATTTCGTTCTAACTCTTTCACAGCAAATTTTAAATTAAATAAATGTTCTGTTTATGCGCGTTAAGGAATCAATAACTGTAGGATAGATTTGAACTAGGATCAAAGCATATGACTTACCTTTACCTATACCTCAACAATAAGTATGAAACTAAATAATACTACTTTAAAAAGGATACTTTCCATAGCGGATGAAGACATTTCGTTCCCCAGTTTGACGGCTTTATAATAACTTTGGACAAAAAAATTAGGGCTCAAAGCCTTTTAGTGTGTAAATTACTAATAACTATGCTATAATAAATTATTAGTTGTTTAAGTTTGATTACTTTAATCAACTAAAAATGAGTCACAATTCACATAAATATCGTAATTCGTAATTGGCAAGTGTAAAAAGTAACTTCTATGAATTGTTGAACAACAATGACAACTGTCAAATCGTTTGTCGACCACAAACAACAAACATTTGAATAAATCTGTAAAAATGATATATGTATATAAATAAATTAATGGAAAGGCTGTGTTAATGGAGGTCGGAGGAGAAAACGCAAAGCTAATTGCAGACGTCGCTATCATCGCTTGACCCATAACAATACGCTCTCAGTTTTCAGCAATTCTTACTTTAATCTTCAATACGATTTAGTAAATCTTAAAAGTGTTTAAAAGTGAAAACTGCTGAATAATGTATTCGACATGGACTGTTCCATAATATAAAGAAGAATTGAAGACCCGGGGCGGTTCTTCAAAAGGAAGAAAGGCAGATCTCGTCACGTTCTCATTCGACTCACGTTGGATATTTTTAAAAATTCATTGAACATTTTTTATGAGGATAGGGATGAAGAATTTTATCAATCATATGTTAAAAGTATTGGACAAATTTTATGTGAAATATTTTAAAAAGGCCATACTTAATAAATATATTTATAAGAATAACTTAGATACAATAAAACCCACTGATAACTTTGGACTTTTATTTTACAATTCCTTCTTTAAAATTACATAGCATAACACAATTGAATTATTGCATCTTTTTCATCACTAACAGCTAAAAGGGAACTTCTTTCAGTTATTTGATGGTCACCGGTAGAGCACTGAACAAATCCCACCAGATTTAGCGCCCACCAATAATTTTATAGTGTTGTGGTGTTCGTAGCTACTAAATGTTAATTGTTGCGCTGTAGGGTAAAAAACCCTTGATATGGCTTGACATTGATATGGGTATTTCTGTACCATCTATTATCACTCTGGTGAGCGACTAGGCCAAATATATATTCTTTCCATAATTCATAAACAAAATTAACTCATGTAACAAATATATTCCCAACAGTTATGTTTTGGAGAAAATAAATGTTTTAATAAAGTAGGAGATTTGACGTTTTTTTGCATTTGTTATGGGTCAAGCGATACCAGCGCTACTAGTGGCAAAATTTGGCCGTTATCTTCTCTATTATTTGAAAACTTACGGATGGCAACACAGAATGTCATTGAACTTCTTAGACTTTTAATTCTATATTTGTGCCAAAGGACTTTGTATCCGGCTAATAAATAAATTTAAAAAAAATGAATTTCTTAGGTTAGAATAGTATAATTTATTGTCTTGTCTTAAAAATGAGTAATTGCATGCTCATTTTTATTTCTATTATATATTTTTTCCGAATATTATCAGGTATAATAGCCTAAACATTGTTTTATTTGATAGAATATTTCATTTCTTTCGCAGAAAATCTGGAGGCTGTAGAAAGAGCCGATGCAATAGTGAGAACTATTGGTAAGCTCACTGATTTAGAGCAGAAAGATAGAATAAAATCCCAGAATCAGTACTTTAAAGCAATTGCAAATTTTTTGGAATCTGATTTTTATTATTCCGAATAAAGTTGTGTTTTATAATAAATATAGTTTTAGTTATCCATGCAATGCTAGTCATTTTAAGTATCAATAGTAAAAGACTAAATACATATTGTATTTAATTTCATAGAAATACAGTTACTATAAATGTAAAAAGAATAAAATTAAATCAGTATCAACTATCAAGTAAGTTTAATCCACAAAATATATTGAACCTTTAGGGATACCATACTAATTTTTTTTAGATTTTTCTTTCATTAGCCAGACTCTATTATACTTGTACAACGTCTATGGTTATTATCTGTCTTTTATGTAGGCAGGTTATTATGCTTATCTCAACTGATGTCTATGGTCCCCGTCGCTGTAAATTATGACGTTGACGTAAGCTGTGAAGATTGTTTTGGATTTTTGGATCTCGAGAATACAAGAAGGGAGCTGTGTTAAATTTTGTTCAAAAATCCGAAATATCAATTCGAATCCTTTATAATATTGTTTTAATCTTAGTTATTTTCAAATTTTGTTAAAGTTTTTTGTTAGGATATTACTATATTTTTGTAGAAATCTCTTATTGTGATAAATATAAATTGAACCGTATAGTCATTAGTCAAAGTACGTTGGGCGTAAAAAGAAAATGGCGTGTGCAACTCTTAAAAGGAACTTGGAGTGGGAAGCTCAGCCTGCTAAAAGGCGTAGATGTTCTCCTTTGGCTGCAAGCTCAAGTACAAGTCCTAGTACAAGTGTACGAGTTGAGTCTAAAACCGGAGTATTTGGAGAAACACTTAGTGCATCTGTGAAAATGACTCCAGGTTTGTTTATTTTTGTTAACGTTTTTGGAATTCAACGACTTATTTCTTTCCATGAATGCGTAAATTTGAGTGTTAGCTTAAAATTATATCTAAGGAATCAGCTGTAATATTATCGATGTTATTATTCATGATTTTTTTTATCGTGAAAGAGTGAGACAGGTAGCAATGACCGTTGGGCGTTTTGCCCGTATTGTTTTTTTATTAAGGGCCGGTTTTTTTGATCCGTAGTTAACTCAACTATTGGTAAAAAATCGTTACTATTAGTTAAATATCAGCAAAATGCGTTTTTTGATCCGTGGTAAGAGCATCCAATGGTAAAATATCTAACCATTAGTCAAAAAAAGTTAACTACTCAGTATCGGAGGGTTAAAAAGATGGCCGCTGGTAATTTATATACTAACAGCTGTTTGTCACAGAAATCAAACTATGATAAATACGTTTATTACTATCTAATGATGAATTTAAACATATTGAGATACTTTAATTAATGAGACGATGAAGAAGACGATAATATTATATGAGAATGTGTTAATGAGTGACCAAAAATATTTAGGCAATGTCATCCGCCATTAGAAACCTGGGATGATGTAGATTTTTGTCACTGTTACCCCCTATCGAAGGGAACAGTGCTCTGGATTGTTACTGAAATTGGGAATGATCTTAAACTGCCAATGAACAAGAGTATATATAGACAGCAGCTCATACCAACCTATTTTGCTTCATTACTAACTACAGAACCGCAGCAGTATATAATTAAGTATATTACTAATTCATTATGTGTTTTATTGCCTATAATATTAACTTATAATTATTATAATTAAATAAAATACAAGAACAAGAGTATATATAGACAGCAGCTCATACAAACCTATTTTGCTTCATTACTAGCTACAGAACCGCAGCAGTATATAATTAAGTATATTACTAATTCATTATGTGTTTTATTGCCTATAATATTAACTTATAATTATTATAATTAAATAAAATACAAGAACAAGAGTATATATAGACAGCAGCTCATACAAACCTATTTTGCTTCATTACTAACTACAGAACCGCAGCAGTATATAATTAAGTATATTACTAATTCATTATGTGTTTTATTGCCTATAATATTAACTTATAATTATTATAATTAAATAAAATACAAGAACAAGAGTATATATAGACAGCAGCTCATACAAACCTATTTTGCTTCATTACTAGCTACAGAACCGCAGCAGTATATAATTAAGTATATTACTAATTCATTATGTGTTTTATTGCCTATAATATTAACTTATAATTATTATAAGTTAATATTATAGGCAATAGAATACATAATGAATTAGAGTTAATATTATTTATATATTACTAATAATATTAACTTATAATTATTATAAGTACATACAAGTATGTACTTATACTAAAAACTACAGCTACACATTAGTTAGGGACCTATGATATTCTTTAGGGCTTTTATTACATTTGTGAGTTAGCATCTATCTACTTTATTACAAGAATTTATAAATAAAACATTTGACTTGATTAATAAACTGTTTAATTATAACTTAAATACAAACCATTTTTATTAAAAAAAAACATTACAAAATTTACATGAAACCCTAAAGTAGCAATTAAATATTTTCTAATTGTTTCTTCTTGCATTTCACCTCAATTTGATGCAACTCTTTTTGCTGCTACATATATTTATTGTGCCTTTCTTCCATCTGCTGCATCACTTTTTGGTGCACCTCCTCTTTATGCAGTATGAATTTTTGGTGGGCCTCTCATTGGTGCAGCAAATGTTTTTGATGCTCTTCTTAAGCATAATTGAACAAATCATCCTCTCTTATTTGTCTTTGTTTCTAAACTCAATTTTTTTTTATCCGTGTGGATCATAATCCGCTTCCTTGTTTCCAAAGGGTTAAAAGATTTTTTCCTTTTGTTGTAGGACACAGCTATACAAGAATAAATATAAAAATGTGCCTACACCTTCATTAAATGTATATTAAATTTAACACTTCGGTGTCTAGACCCATCTGAGTTGAAAACGTCACAGAGATTTCCAAGCTGCATCTTTTTGTAGATTGCTGCAGTGATCAGTTGTTTGCAGGTTACGACTGTGTAATCCTTGAGAAGCATCACCAGTTTGGCAGTTTCTTTTTTGGCGAAGTTAGCAGTATGGTCCCTTTAACAAAACATAAATGTATTACTTTCTATTACGAAACACAAGATAAACCGGAATAAATAACACGAAAATATGTTTGAACTTACTTATTTGACCGTTGGCTGTTTGCGGACATCGTTATTTATATATTTAAGTATCGTAAAAGTGTAAACCGTATTAAATCACAGAAAAACAACTTTATTTATATCGTGTTATTTAGATTAATTTGACACTTCAAACTCTTCAAAGCGCAAATAACGAATGAAGATGGCAAAAATGGATTTCATTCACTCAATATGTCTAGTGTTGTCATACAAAATAAATGATCCCCACAAAAAGAACCACATTTTTTGGGATGTCATTGCTCATTGCACTGGCAACAAATTGACAAATTGTTAACTTTAACTATAGTTAAAAAGGCATTGAAAAACGCATTTACGATTTTACCAATGGTTATTCATTTAACTATAGTTAATGTAACAAATGGTAAAACCATTTTTTACTACGGATCAAAAAACTGGCCCTAAGTGAAAAGTTTGATCTAACAAAGAATGTATGAAAAAATCTTGCAATGCTTAATATTAAACTGGTTTTCTCAATTATTGCTTTTAGTATTGACACCTAATCGCTATCAACCTTTATTGTGGATTTTAATTATCAATTCTGTAGTTAAGCCATCTTAATTTCTCTGGGTGATTTGTTGTTTAGATTTACGGAATGGACTAGTAACAGCAATAGCTATTTGGCATACTTGTTTAGCAAACCAGCTGAAAGAATTTGTAGTTGTTCTTTGTTGAGAAATTTTAAGAGGCTAGTCATTTATTAGTCCTAGTGTATAAATCATTTAAAATTGCCTTAGTATTTAAATATTTTGTCATATTGAACATATTAAGGTTTTAAAGTAACAATGTAAGACAATTTATTTTTGCAAAAGATGCACAAAATGTCTGCCCCTCAGCACTGTGTGACTGTCAGTTTTGTGGTATTTTTTAGTGTTCTATACACTTAGTGATTTACTACTACTAAATACTGTAGAGAATGGTTAATTTAAAAGCAAAGGAAAATAGTAAGGTTAAACATTATTACTAATTTATACTTCTTAATGGGACCTTGTAAAATTTATCTGTATTTTTGCAATCATTTTATGGAATGAATTCATAATGAAAGTTTGCTAGAATATATTTCATTTTCTACTATTATTAATATATATAAAACTATTATCATTAGTCTAAAAGAATTTCATGGTTATCTACCTATAATACTTCCAAGTATGTTTGTGTGTATTTAATAAAGTGTCATATTCTTTACCCAAAACAGAAAAGAAGAAATCAATAACTCATTTACATGGTTGAAATTGTCTCAGTTGAGCCAAATATGATGTAGAATATTGATTTTAAAAACTTTTAGGGTTATACTTTATTAGTTACAGTTTTACGTAAATGTCTTAGCATTAACATTTCAAACCATACTTTGCTTACACAATTGAGAAGTTTATGTATTATACAATATTAAAACTCATCTGAATTAATTCTTAAATTTACCATGTTAACATATTTTTGTGTGGGGTGGTTTTATGCTAAATTTGTGGTAACAACTGTTATTTCAGAGCGTATGGCGCAGGAGATTTACGATGAAATTATTCGCTTACATCGTCGTCGCCAACTGCGTATGGTATCTGGCGCTGCTGCCTGCTCAAGCTCCAGTGGCAGCGAGGGAGATGCTTCTCCACCACATGGATCTGCTCATTCCGAGAAGGGACGCACCATTAAACACAGAGCACTATTCACATTCAAACAAGTAAGTTTATAGCTGTGCTGTACTCAATATTCAAAATATTTTTAGCATGACCAATGGTTCTCATTTTATATTGTTCCATGTATTATTTTAAGTTTACTAACTCACATCATTGCTTCTTGTGCAGCCATAGTGATTATGGCATCTAACATATTCTCAGTACTCAAGCAATATCTTAATATTGTGAGATACGAATATTTAACTTTTAATCTATGAAGATTGTAATGATTTGTTTTATTTTCTTGATAACCCGCAGGTGCGTATGATTTGCGAGCGCATGCTCCGCGAGCAGGAGGCGGCTCTCCGCGCCGAGTACGAGTCTGCTCTGAGTACTAAGCTTCACGAACAATACCAGGCCTTCGTGTGCTTTAACCTGGATCAAGTGAGTACTTTATGTAAAAATAACAAAATATTAAATGTAACGAGACCTATGAGTTTAAGTATCGTCTGCCTTTATGTGACAAGATGTGTTTATATCTTAACTATATTAAAGAAGTAGGGATTGAAATAACCAAAAGTCTAACATATTTTCTAAGAAATATGCATCAAGATGCTAAAACTAAACCAAGATTGCGCACAATTCGGTTTGTTTTATAGAACAATGACGATTTGAACTTTTACATTTAATTGAATCGAGCAAGCTTTTAAAGAGTATGAAGCCCCACAACCTTGCAATCATTGTGTTTGACTGCAATGTATCCTGTAATTTGCAGCAGATCCAAACCAGTACTATCTTGTCAGACCAAAAAGTTGAAGACCTTTTTGGTTTATTATTTTGTATGTTCAAAGAAATCTTTCCACTGGCGTTTAGTGAAACTGATCAAGGACACACAATGCGCATAGCGAGCATAACGTTTCAAGAAATTTTTAAAGGATACTCAAGGATCTCCATAGCTTTGTGATTGAATAATATTATCAATGGAATAGAGTTAAATTGAATATGTCGTAACAGGTGCAGAGCCGACCGCCGCCTGCCACGTGCATGCCGCTCGGGATGGACGCCGAACATCACATGCATCAAGATCTTGTGCCCAGCTGTGAGTTATTACTATTATTCTTTTAATCTATGCACAAATAGTTAGTTCACAATACACAAATACCGAAAAATACGGTCATAATTATTCGGTGTTGTATTAGCCTGTCGTAGAAAAAAGCTATGACTATTTAAGATAAAAATTTCCGTACGCGCACGCTAGAATAGCTCGCAGATGGTATATTTTTTCCCACTTGATATTTTGGACAATTCACACATTATCTTTATAAATTGCCTATGTGTTATTTTGATGTATAAGCTATATTATTGTAAAGTTTCATTAAAATCCATTCAGCAGTCTTTACATGAAAGAGTAACAAACATACATCCATACTTACAAACTTTCGCGTTTATAATATTAGTAGGATAAAGTACAGATATTAAAAATAAAAAGGAAGTCAATAAATAATAACATTCATCATCTCCATATAAAATAAATAAAATTGTAAAACCAGTTTTTATCACCAAGAACCCTTCGCTGCCTAAGATTTCTAAGCAGCCTCCTGTTTTAAGCTGAGATATGCAGCTTTTGGTTGAGTTTTTTAAAAGGTTGCTATCAATTTAACACTTAGTTGGAATTAGATAATATTCGAGTATGATGATCTAGTTCTTTTGCCTCTAAGCAAGGTATGCTCGAACCTCAAAGTAGAGTCGAATTTGAAACCTCTCGTTATTCAAATTCGACTCTACAAATCGAAAAATACACTTAGAAATCGCACGAAGTTCTTGTTTAGTCGAAAACTCGATTTTTTTGCATTTCCCTTGACATTCGAGTTTTAAAGAGTCCACTGTATATCGACGTAGGAAAGCACATTTGCTGTAAGTAGACATATTGCAATTGTTCACCAGAGCCAAAAAACTTTATTAATTTCGGAAAAAAATTAATAGTGTCTGACCTATCCATGATATTGCTACCATTTTTGAAACATATATTTATTTAACTGCCAGTCACCATTTGCAATGTAAACTTTTTATCCAAAGTTACTATAAGTACGTGTTTGGCTAGTTACAGCAAACAGTTTTTTAAATCACAAACCTTTAAAACGCTGTAACTAAGGAAGAAAAATGTACGCGCGGAAATATTATCAATTTACAGGCGGTAAATATGCTGTATGCAGGAAATTTATGTATTTGGGTACTTTTAATTGCAATTCAAGATGTAAGATTAGTTTATAATTATGATTAGATCTAGAAATGCAGTGGGTCATTTGGTAATGTAATGTTTGGTTGAAATAAAATGTCGTAAATGGTAAAAAAAAACCAAAACTGTAGGTTCCCTAAACTTGCTGTAAGTAAACGAATGTAAAAATCACACGCCGCTGAAATGCTGTAAGTAGCGTTAAGTTTTTAAATGGGAAGAAGTAAGTATTTCTAAAGAAAAAAATGCAGATTTTCTTTTGCTGTAAGTGCAAAATGTCTGAAATGACTAGATTTTGGTCTACATACAGCATTTAATCTTGCTAAAAATAATATAAGTACGGGCGTTTTCAACGGCGTATATAATTTTTTTTCATCGTAGAGACACAGGACCCAGGTCATTCGATGCGGCTTTTTTTTCTGATTCTAATGGCAGGAAAAAGTCACTTTAGGTATTTTGTCTACTTACAGCAAATATGCTTTCCTACGTCGATATACATAATGTATTTTTGTTTCAGATCTGTCCTAATAACACGAGCGATTGAGGGCTGCAGTTATATCAAGACAAACATATTTTGGTATATGTGAATATTATGGGTTATCATAACGATAGCCGTTTAAGACTTGTGATTGCTAGCGGAACTCGCCTGCCTATAACTCGCCATGTCCACAGTATTATCTTAATTTCCTTTAAAAAATTGACATTGTCATGATTTATTCAAAAACATCTCTTAATTACTAAGACATTGTTAACTTTGAACGTCATTTTCAAGTGTCCTAATGGAAATATATAAAATTTTGATGTTCATATTTGTTGCCATGGGAACGACGTGATTTCCATATCGTCGCTGGAGGATGATAACCTCGTTTGTCCAGAAAACCAAACATTACAGGAAACAACAAAAAATGTTTCATTTCGTCAAATGTTCATTAAAATATTATTATGTGTTTTTGTCCATAGTTTTGGATGGTAAAAAGGACTTATTTATTAATTAACATAAATAAGTCCTAAGAATGTACCAGTTAAATAACAAGAGTCTAAGAATAAAAAATAACGGTTTTTTTGTCGAGGTTATCATTCTACAGTGACGATATAAAAATGGTAACAAACACCATATTAACTTTAATCCAAATTTTTCAAGGCATTTTAACTTTCTGTTAAAGCTGTCTAAATCCGATTAGTCCTCAGCAGCCGAGTTCTGTAGCTAACTTCATGCCACAAACATAAATTAGCTTATAATGCTTTAGGTAAGATTTGCTGCGTAATTGTGTTCATAGACTGACGAGCGATAATTTGGATTGTTTAAAACAGTGGTAGACATTTGTTTGCCGATAGCCTTAGTACACAAAATTCACACAGAGTGCCTCTCCCTTCATTGTTAGCCATCATTTTTGTTAATTATAGTCTGGCGATAGTTCTGCTGTTGATCCGACTTAATTCAGCCCCGACTCAATTTGTGATTACCCAATTCTGTTTTAAAACACCAGAAGTATCGCCATTACGTCGAAATATAGTTAGTTATTAAATTAATTTTTTTTTCGTGAACGACAAATGCGTCGGATGGTCCCGTCGCCGGCGCATTGGGATTTCTGAAGATCTATGAAGTTTGGTTCACCTCCTTAACGAAGGCTTTAGATTATTTGACTTAGCTTTATTTATGTAAGTTATTTCTCGATAATGTAATATGTGAAGATGAAACGCACTACGTTATTGGGCTTCTTTTTTACATTATTGTTTAGTTAGTAACAATTTATTGAATACGAAAAGGATTTAATTTGTTACCAAGCATGTTCAATAAAAATTAGGATAGGTCTTTTTTAAATTGTATTATCCGCTCATTACTAGTAGATTATTGGCGTTTAAGAACTGAAGAAAATAAACTAGCTAAACACCAATAAATTGTTTTTTATTTATTAAATAAACACCACTCCTTATACTAACTACACTTACATTTATGGTTTTAAATTTGAACCGTTTTGAATTGACTTTGTAAAAGTGGTTATCGGTTTTACCCGCATGAACGTGAATTTTTCTTTGTTGGATTTGGATACTTGAGAATGTGTGCCAGAGTGTTCCATGAGGGTACGTATGTTTTAATACCCTACCCTATTAACCTAGGTTAATAATGTTGACAAGTATTAATTTTTCAAAATTAGTTATATTGAAAAAATTAAAGAAAGCTTGTCTGGACTATTAATAATTAGTATTACTAAAAACGAACCCTACTAACGCCTAGCTCAAAGACCGTGGGGTTTTAATGTGTAAAGAATTAAAAAAAGCATTTATTCAATTACGTAGGTTGTTGATTTAAAATTATTCACAAGAATATTTTCAAACAGACAAGTGCCCTTGAGTGTGGAAATCGAAAGCAAAAACTACTCCTTAAGTAAATAAATACTGCAGCATGGCATGTGGCATCGCTAAGATTTCAAATAGGTATATGTGATATAAGCTAATTTTAACTATTGAAAATTTAAAGCTACACAAAAGCAACGTAAATTTATATCAATTCGGTTCCCGTAATGATTTTCAATCTTAATTTCTTTAAAAGTTAGACACATTTTAAATAATAATATACTTCATGCCGACTCTACGTCGGCGGCTTATCTGTATTGAGATTTGAGACCAGCCATGTTCGCAAGAGAAATCAACTATATATAATTACAATTTACATGTATAATATATATAAAGGTATATTACTTAAAAATTATACAAAAACTTTTAAGTTTCGGGGTTAAAGATAATTTTGTTTAAATCTTAACTTGAGCATTTGTTCTGGCGAGCTTTTGCCTTTTTGCCGAGCCAAGCTTCGGTAATAGTAGGGGAGCCCATGCGGGGATTTCGGGATTTACTAAAGCGCGGCAGATTAATATACAGGGAGATACCTTGTACCCGGTTAAGTACCTCCACAAAACATGAGGCCCATATATAAGGCCGCCCGTGAAGGATACAGGATCAGATTAGTAAAAAAAAATTGACCATCAGAAATTCTCGAGCGCGTCAGATTAATGTAGGGTGAGTTAATTACATCCTAAAAAGTGTATATTCCACTAATCTGACAATTTGAGAGTGACGTAAAAAAAGGGGAGGGCAACAAAGTTGTAAAAAAAAACGTCATATCGACATTCTCGAGCGTAGCTAAATTTTTTTTTATTTTGAAGGAAATAATTCAAGAATAATGAAAAATTTATAATCTGACGATTTCCGCAAGCCGAAATAACAAAAATTCGTCAATAAAGTTAAATGCGTGCAGCTGCGTGATGCCTACATTTCCTTAAACCGATCGGAATCTACTAAACGGCGTTCTAAATATTTCCCTCAAAATTACTTTTGCTGTGAATTTGAACCGATTCGGACCGATAGATTTTGAGAAATTTTGAAAAATCTCAAAAAAAAAAAAAAATTTTTTTTAAAGTGGTTTCTTTATTATCAACTTCAAAAACTAATCCGCCTTTGAGCTTGAAAAACCACGTCGATTGCCACCAAGCTGGTCAAAAGCGGTTGATTCGTTCGAGAGATATCGTGAACGAAAGAAACCCGAAAAAGTGTTTTTTCGGGATTACACCGAAATTTGTGGTTCGATCAATTAAAATTACTTATGAGGATGATAAAACTGCGTCGAATGCCGCCAACCGCGTGAAAATTGCTTGATCCATTCAAAAGTTATTGCGGTTTGAAAATTCCAAAAATCGTGTTCTATGAAACTTCTATCAGACTTTCGAGCTGGGAGAGCTCAAATGCATAGAAATATTATTTCTTTGAACTCAGCGAGCTCAAAATATAAATTCTAAGCGCCCAGGAATGGAATTAGCGGGAAGTTGCAGGGATGGCCTTTAAGGTGAACCGTTTTTCTAATTTTTTTTTGTCAGATCAGGCGCATCCCTCTAGATAATCGTCAGATTATGAGACAGTACGTTTAGAACATAAAGATGAACCATATATATCTTAATCTGACGCGCTTGAGTAATTCAAAATGGCGAATTTTTTTTTGCACGTTATGAAAATGGCCGCGGGTTTGCGTCCCATCGAAATCGTCAGATTAGTGAATGAGTGCTTTGGTGCACTTAACACTCCCTTAGAAAATCTGACGCGCTCGATTAATTTTTTTTTTTCATTTTCAACCCTTAAATGCAACCACCCGCATCATGCAAACGATCAGATTAACATACGTACATTATTAAAAATACGTAGGGCATTGATGCTATCAATATCTGACGCGCTCGAGGATGTCCATGCAACAGTTTTTTTTTACATATTTAAAAATCTATAGCCGCTTACCCCACCGATGTAAAGGTATATATCATATAACATTTTTTTCTTCTTATCATCTAAGCTTTGCATCCCAATAGGTCTCTACGACGCTCGAGTAAATCCCCATTTAGCATCGTGGGCTCCCCTACTATAATCGTTCCGTCTGTCTGACATCTTCGTGAAGAATATTTTTTGACGAGCATCGACAAGGCCGTTCACTAGAATGCTCATAGCAATGTTCGGCTCTATGCTTGGCTCGGCTCGTTGTTACAAGTGAATGCTCAAGTCTATCAGCACCTTACGTAGTAGAAAAATAAGTGATTTTTAAATTGCTTAAGATATGCAATCTTTAATTTAAGATTCTTTTTATAATCATAAAAATTTGAAAATGTTAATTTAGTTTTGAATGAAAATCCCTTATGCCCCATCCAATGCACGATACACGACACACACAACGAACACAAATAAAGTTGCCACCGACATGAGTAAAGGTGCGCTAACACGGGCAACTAAAATTGCTCAATTCCAGTCAATACTCGTCAATTATGACGTCACGACTACATCAAGCAATTTACGGCAACGGCAACAAGCATCAATACTGCGCAATACAATATTGAGCGATATGGCGCAACTTCATCAACTAGGCAATACACGTCATACACGAGCATTTCAGTTTTCACTCGCTATGGACGATATTGTTCTTGCTGCGGCGGCGCTTTTTTGCTGATATTTGCTCTCGTCGCCTCTCGATGCTTGAAGGCTCTATACCTATCACGCCGACTGGCTTTCCTCAGCCACCAATTAAGATTAAGCATAAATTAAGACGGAAGATCCTTTCACGACTATTGGCCTGATACAATTGGTTCTTCGATCACGAGAATGTGGAACGGTCACGCTATAGGTCTGAAGATTAGGACAGGATGCATTATTTCTTTGTCTCCTATCTATGGAGGCCGATATGTTTTAGCCGGATGATTTTGATGTTGTTGCCGTCTCTATCCCTTCGTCTTCGATTAGGTACGATGTGGAGTGTAGATTAGAGGTTAAGGTGAGTAATGACGGTGTCCCATACATGATACATCAGTATGATGAAGAACAAATATGCATTAGCTGTTAGAAAGTAATACGACTCTTCCTACGTGGAAGAGGAGTATATGGGAGACTACCAATATAGGATTTGAAAAATACTTTATGCCTGTATCAATTCTCACCTGGCAAAATATACCAGATGGTACTTATGTGTTTTTTTCATTCGTACAATTTTGGAAATTCTACGACGAATCTAAATACGGGGGAAAAAATATTAAAATTTAAGCTCTCTAATTTCGACGTGAAACTTTCAAATTGTTATATTTTTTAAACAATAAAGCAATTTAAAATAATAATTATATTAATTCGTCTATTTATCTACTGCCTATGATTTTTTAAGTTATCTAATGCCGAAAATTATTTAAAAATTCATTTGACTTTACTACACAAAACGGTTTACTACACAGATTAGTCAATGGCCTAGCAACTTGTAATGATTTAATTTTGTTGAAATAAGTATTTGTGTAATTTGAGAATGGTAAACACGTAAAATTTGACCTTTTTACAGGTGTAGTACGTCATAGGGACTGATGCGATGCCATCTTGCCTAGGCTTGGCGGGTTCTAAAATTATGAATGTTTAATTTATGTAGAATTTTTAAAGCTAATGCTGCAATCTCAAAAGAAACTATTTTGGCTCTTTTTAATGAAAAAAATGTGATCCGTCACGGGACGCCTGGCAGATGTGAAACATCGACATTATTTTGTAAAAGTAATATGCAGAAAAGAACAGATTGTGACAGGAACTAAATATGTCATAATGATAAAATATAATATTACGATTTTTTTTCTTGATAACGATGACTATTTATTGAATAAAGATTTATTTTCATTAAATACAAAAAATTTCGAATTTATTTCAAATCGTGAATACTTAATTCGTTTAATCAGACTTCGGTAATAGTTATATTCGATGTTGCCTCTCAGGGCGGTATTACTGTGACACTTGGTCGATATACTTATATATACCATCATAGGCATGTGGCGACACGTCGCCACGGCATGCGTCGCCAGAAATCGGTTTTACGTGTGGCTATAGATGTTTCACATCAAAAACGTTCAATTCCAGTGCTATTCGTTTGTTTCATTCATAACCGAGAGTGTGCAACACTACTGTGAGTTGTGACATCACTCATAATTTTAATTATTATAGTCTTTGAATGTCATTGTGTAAATACAGTGTATTGTGATTTGTGAAAACTGAAAAGGTATACAAAACAAAAATTAGAGATCGAAGATAGTCCTTTCGTTGATAAATCGTTTTTAGATTATTAGCTTTCGACGTTTTTATTACCATTGATTTTGTGTTATAATTTTGATAGCTGTTATTGCACGATGAGTTTTGAAACTACAACCACCAATGGAAACGACAAATCCGAACGCAAATACTATGATCGCACAAAATCAGACGATTTGCAAATATCGAGGACAGATATGAATATGTTGATAATGAATTATTTGGTCACAGGTGAGAATTTTGTTAAGAGAAACCTTTAACCTTGGCTTATTGTTGAACTACTTTACATGAATGCATAATATTAATGTGCATATTTTTTCTTTGTTTAGAGGGGTTTAAAGAAGCTGCTTTGAAGTTTCAACAAGAAGCAGGTCTGCAAGAGCCTGCCCTATGTAGCTCATTAGATGAGAGGATAATGATTAGAGAGGCAGTTCAAGGAGGTCGTATATCAGAAGCTATTGCTTTGGTTAATGCTTTACACCCAGAGCTGCTAGACAATGACCGCTATCTATATTTCCACTTACAGGTACAATAAAAAATTGAAATTGTATGAGAATATAAAATGCTAATGCACTAAGTTTCACTAAGGTGTTATTTTGTCAAAACCCTTTTTTTTATTATACCATATACTGAGAATAACTTACATAAAATGTACCTTGATAATTATCCTGAACAATTTGATAGTTTTGTAATTAAGTATACCTATTTTTATTCATGCTATGTTGACTTACAAATAATGAATAATATTTTTAATAATCAACTTCACTATCTTCCATTTATTTTGTATACAAGGTTATCAACTTGTGATTTTATTTTTACAGCAACTGCAGCTTCTGGAACTGATTCGGGCAGGTCGAGCAGAAGAAGCTTTAGCATTTGCTAGTGCAACATTAGCTGAGGCTGGGGCAAATGACCGTAATGCTCTGACTGAACTTGAGCGGTCACTAGCTTTATTAGCATTCCCTGACCCTCATGCTTCTCCTTTTGCCGACTTACTGCTACCATCTCACAGCCAAAAAGTATGAATATTTGTTTAAATTCTCACTTATCCAGGTATTCTGTAACTATATAATGACAGACACAGATAGAATGACACACTTATTCATTTATTCAAAGTATATTTGTTGCCCTTGGTGTGTTTTCAAAGAAAAATATAGAAACATAATAACAATTTACGTAATTATGACAACTCACTACACACATGTCATGATGACATTTGAAATATATTTAATTTGTATAATTAAATGTTTATGTTTTCAGATTGCCAGTGAATTAAATGCAGCAATTCTGAAAATGGAAAACCAAGAATACACAAATCCAAAATTATGCAGTCTTTTAAGAATGATTCTTTGGTCTCAAAGTGAACTGGACAAACACAATGTGAAATATCCAAAAATGACAGACCTCGCTAATGCTACTATTGAACAACCTAAATGAAATAATAATAAGGATCATCATATGTATGTGGATGTAATCAGTGTTATGTTTTTGTATGAATGTTTATTTAAGGTAAATAAAAATTTAGATATTTATTTTAGTTTTCTTTATTTCAAATTTGTTTATTTTAATTTGCATGGTTAAATAAAATAAAATATTAATACATCTTGCCAAGAGTTTGTCATAATAGAATGTAACATGATAGTCTAATACAATAAAAAATCGTTATTTAAAGTTAAAAAACTAATTTATGTCTGATTTTCATGAAGTAGGATTTAAGTTGTTCCATATTAAATTGAATTTTGTAACTAACAATTTGTTTTCTTGTATCAGTAGGGTTCCTGTCCCTAAACTATAAAGACTTTTCTCATAAAAGCCAGTCAAATGACTTTAATCCAAAATTATGAAAACCCAAAATGAAAGATATCACAAAATTTGATTATTAGCAACTAATTCATATTGTCAATAATAAATACTTTTTAATTGAAATGAAAATATTTAAATTTATTTGAAATGCCCATATTCTTGAATAAACCTAAAATGCTACTTACAACCTAACTTTTTTTCTGTTCAGGGTTGTTTTTTTAAGACTGGTTAATGTATAGTAAAGACTTCCATTTTGATTATATGTCACCAACTGAGAACATAGTCCAATGCTTTGGATATCAGTCCACTTGACCTTTGTGGCACTGGGGCTTGTGACATTGGAGTAGGACACAGAGATCTTGCTTGAGTTGATTGTCTGTAACAATTGTATTTATATTTAGTTATAATACAAAAACCTGACATCTCCTTAGATCGAAACCCCTGGATTATTAAAGAGATTATATTTTAAGGAATAGGTTAAGTGCACTTTAGTCTCACTTTCAGTATGCTTTGAGTTGCAGTACATATTCTTTAACATACTATTTATTAAGTATGAATTTATTTATGGCCTCATGTTGCTGTGTTTCGTGATAAAAAAGATAATAGGTGAGGAGCCTTCTAAGCCTGTACTTCTTTACTTTTTGAGGGTAAGGCTTGCTGGTTTGCTTCACTGTATGAGCATGTGTTATGTAATGCACACATGTTATGTAAGGCACACATAGAATGTCGAGTCCATTAGTGCATAGCCAGGGTTCAAACTAATGACCTCAGGGATGAGAGTTGCAACACTGCTAAATGAACATTAATTTATGTAGTCTATAAAAAATTGAGAAATTTTCTCTAAGTACCTTTCTGGGAATGCACCAGGGCTTGGAGCACTTATCCTCGGTGGATCTTTACATTCAACAACTCCCACCATGATACCAGGTAATATTTGTCTCCCATTTAAAGCTAGTGATCTCTCTTTCTCGGCTCTAGTAGCATACCTGATGTGTGCCCAGTTACCCTGAGTTGGGTATTGCTTATCTGTAAAGGTATCATAATGTATTAATTTCACATTTGTATGTACTTACAATTTTCTTACTTTCATATCTAAAATAATATATTGTAAGGCAAAGACAAAATAATATACTTATATCATAATGATTAAGCAAGCTTTAATAAACAATAAGTCCTGCATTTTAAGCCCAGCACATTAGTAATTCTGGCTGAAATTAAAAGATATTTATGAGGAAATGCATGGCTTAATCTTACGGATGTGAGCCATACACTAAAGGCTAATCACCATTTTCCTTGTAAAGAAAAATAATCAATCAACAAATACAAAATCTAAGGAGATAATTTTGGCCTTCCAAAACACTATGAAACCTAAAAATTAAAATATGTTTATTATGGCATATAAGATACAGTTATCACTTATTGTTTTTCATTAAATATCCTACTAACCTAATAACTCACCTAAAATAGCTCCACAATTGCTGAATCTGGCTAGCACAGTATTTGCAGCATTTGGAGGAAAACCAAACACTGTGATCCAATATTCATCTATTTCTTGACATCCATCTTGCCATTGTGACGTCAAAGAATGGTTATTCACTGAAGCATTATTTACATTTGAGTTCTGTAGAAATGAATTGTTGTTACCATAACCAACAAAACTGTGATCTTGAAAAAGTGACTTATTGATTGACGGTTCAGACTTTATAGTATCAAATAGGTCTTCAATAGGAGGTCCACTTGGTTTGGTAGAGAATGAAACATTGGGTGAGGATGGAATGTTTGAAAATACGTGTTGTTGATTATATATTGCTTGTTGGTGCATTAACATACTCTGGCGATAAACTTTTTGATCGGGCGTGGAAGTCTGAGATGGACTTGTTGGTGAACCTAAAAAATGGTTAAAACAAGTTAAATATTTAAGAATCATTTCAATTACAAAATTAGAACATAGATAATAAGAAAAGCATACCAAAAGCAAGACTTCTTCCCTTTGTTGGCGATAAGCTGTTCGTTCGAGGTGTAGTTGGGGGATTTATTTCACCTAACAAAAAAGGAGGCAAGTAGCCCACGTTTGGACTTCCTGAAGGAGAATGTGTGGGGCTACCCAAAGCCATAGGTTCCATAGCTAATAGTAAAAGTTTATATAAAAATCCACAATTATCCTGTTTGAAATTTTAAATTCTACGCTCGTTTACCGGACAACTTTAGCAGTTCTAGCATCGACTTCTGACTTCTGACATTTAATTTAAAGCATAAATCCACAGATCCTAGCTAGATATCAGATCAAATATTGACATTGTAAATTATTGTATTATTGAGATTTTGCGACACTCCTCACCTATTCACAATGGGAGACGAACAAAAAACTTACTTCTAGATTTACTTACTTATTTACCCACCAACTAATTGCAGAATAACTAATAGCAAAATAAAATTTGGATCATAACAATACTATCTGAATACCACAAGTCACGATACCTGGCTTGCTACGGAGATTAATCTTTCTGAATGAACAAGGAAGAGAATTTTTGATGGGACGATAAAACATTACTCATTATTACTCATACTGTGTTTTTAGGATAATTTACAAGATTGATTTCGTCGATCTTGTAAATTTTTGTCTAATCTTTGTTATTTGACTGATAAACTAGTAATATTTATTATCTATGAATTTAAGAGCCATATGTCAAAACAAAAATATGAGGATCCCCAAATCTCAATAAAAATTAAAAAAACTCAAACAATAGAAAATGGATTCTTCAGAAGCAGAGGAGTCTGAAAATTTAAATTTTAAGCATGGTTTTTCTAATTTTAATAATCAAACATCAATCACAAATAGTAAAAATAATATTATACATAAATTATTTAATAGAGAGGTACGTTAAAATTACTATCATGTTTAGTGTTCTAAAATTTTGTTTTCATCTTAATTTGTAAGTGAAATTTACTTGTAAACACACTTTAAGCACAATAAAATTCTTCTATGAAAGATAACTATGAACAGATTTTAACCGTTGAAATACTGTTATTACAAGTCTAAATTAATTTTTAGGTATATGGTAGTACATCTAAAAAGTCGAATGAAAGACATCGTAAGGTATTAGACAGGATACCAGCGCGCCTACGGTTCTGTCTGATGGACATTGTTCCTATAGAATGTTTAAGAAACCACATATTCATGGGATTTTCGCAATGTGGACAGTTCCTTCTTAGTTTCACGTTTAGCAGTAGAACACGAGGATTTGAAGAGAGTACCAAGTACACGTAAGTTTTTAAAACACAAATATACTTCTATGTTCAGCAGTTTAGAGAAGAGAAGTAAATATGTTTAGTGACTTAGGACTACACTTGATCCATTGTTTTTAAGTATTACTATTGGTAATGATATCATAATTTAACTGTTTTGTTTGTATAAACAGATTACATTTCCTCTCATGGGTGCCTGGGAAGTTAGTGAAGCCAGTACACAGTGTGCCTCTTTTTGGAGATGAATGTGTGGACAGCAACATCACAATATCTATGGCTCAGTGGAGGCATAATACTAGTGTTTTAGTTGTCTATGGCATTGCGTAAGTTTTCTAATTTTATTTTTTCTTAAATTCTAGATTTAGATAGAATTCTAGATCCTAGATAATGAAAACCCCCATTTTACGTTTTAGTATTTCTTACAATATAAGCATGTTATCAGTTGTCTTTAAAGTGGAAAATGGAGTGTTTTATGTTATCAATCACAAGATGTCTGGATGTTATATGTATAAGTTACCATCTAAGCCACACCAACTTTAAAGGGTCAAAAAAAATTTCAACTGAAATAAATCATTATTAATTAATATTATTCTTACAGGAAACATGATTTATGTTCTGATAGATCCTACCTCAGTGTTATTGGAGTACCTCAATTAGGATGTAGAAAATGTTCATCTATGTCTAAAGAAGGTAAAGTAGAATTATATTTACTTCCTTTTAGATCATAAATTCTTGCCTGAGAAATCTTGCCTTCTATAAAAACTAAGCAGCTATCATTCATCAGAGTTTGATAGGCTTTAGATTAAACAACTGAACCAAATATATTTTGTTATTAAGATTGACACAATTTGGCTTCTCTTATGAAATTATAAATTTAGCCACTTGTCAGATATTTTAATTCCATAATAAAATATGAAATAAAAGTATAATTAAAAAATACAGGCAAATGAAGTTTGAATGTTTGTACCTAAACCAAACTAGAATTTCCTTATTAAATATGTATGCAGACTATAAAACAAAATTATTAAATTATTATTGTATGTTTATAGGTATTTAATTAAATATGTAAAATAAAAGTACAATTATTACAGATGACCTCAGCTGGGGTCAACGTTGCTTAGAACACAACTTTGCCATTCACACAAAATTCTTTTGCACATCGGATAGTAATATATATGAACCAGTAGTACATCTAGCATATTCAAATCAAATTGTGATATACACAGACTTTATACATGTTCTAGAAATAGACTTTGTTAAGCCGGACCATGATAAAATAGATAACCTTGAAGAGAGAGTTGCTGTAGATAGAGAAGAAAATAGTTTGGTGGATAGTAATCCTGCAACACCACCTTCTGATTTTTCTGCTCCGTTTCTCTCTCCGAAATACCAAACCAACGTAGTGCAGAATATACTGGCAGATTTTTCCGACTTAGAAATGGAGCCAAATCAAATATCACGGCCGGTTTATCTACCTGATATGATGGGCCAAGAACTTTGCATACAAGCATCTTCAATATCACACTATCTAATGGAGGAATGGGAGGGACCCTCACCATCTATCAGGACCTTAATTAGCCCCCCATTACGATCCCCAAGAAGGAACCCAGCCGAGAGTATGTCCAGGTTTAACGAGTCTCATAGGGTTATAGCTGATAAGGCATATGAATTTGTAGAAGACACAGAGAAGTGCGAGAAACTTAGTATGTTTAGGAAACGACGGCTAGCAGATAAGAAATATGAATTTTCAGAGGATAATAACGAGAATATCATTCCGTTTAGAGTTTTAAGAAGTAATAGAAAGTATTTCACTGGTTCAACGAGTAAGATTAGGAGGGCAAAGTCGCCATCAGTGGAAAGTGTGGTGTTACGGGCTCACAACCAAATCAGTAGACCGCCATCTCCAACGACAAGTACAGATCTAAAGAATCCCAATATATTGATGGAATCGGATCGAAATAGTGAATCGGAGTATAGAGTCACCGAGATGTTGGACGATGGATCGCTTAAAACAGTGTCTGTGCATGATAATACCTCAAAGACATTATCGGACTGCCCAGTTAGTGCTCAAGATCCATATTTAGTGCATTCAGGGAATTCTAAGTGTAGTAAACTGTTTACGCGGTATTTTGTTGAAAGTGACGATGAGATAACTTCAATTTTAACGGATTCTGATGGTAAGGATTTTTTTCTATAATTTTTTGAAATTAATTTATTCATAGCAATACTAAAGTCGTATGTGTCCACGAAGTGGTAGATGATATTTACTCTTACCATTTTGCAGTTACATGTTTAAAGAGTTTGGTAAAGGAAAAAAACGAAAATACAGCTAAAATCTTTACATTTCTACAACTTGATAATACATTAGTAGTTTTTTAGTCAGGAACACAGCATATCTTATGTAATTAAATATGGAAACCTATAGAAGCAGACACAGAAATGTGTCTCCGTTATACCACAACCTTTAGGCTACGTCCGCACAGGCAGGAGGTTTGCTTAGCGCCTAGAGCCTAGAGGCTTGCCGTCTGGCTACTTGCTAGGTACACGATGGCCGGACTAAAGCCGGGCGCATACATACTGATTCCTGATCAGAAATCCTGATCAGGTTTCCTAATCAAGAATTCCGTGTGGAGAGCGCACACATTCTGTTTTTTGCATTCGGAATTTAAACGATCAGTTCGATCATAGACGCTTCTGATAACGCACGAGTATGGACGACGAAGACGAATTGATGCTCATTGCTCTTTTATTGGCGCTAGACAAAAGGGCATAAAACGTCGTTATTGGGTGCATCCACTGAATACCCAAAGATTAACTGAGAGTCAATTCTATGTCAAAAGAGCAAAGTTACGGGCATACCCAGAAGAATTCTTCAAATATTACAGGATGTCAATGAAATCCTTTGATGAGCTTCATAATAGCATACGAGATAAAATAAAAAAGCAAAATACGCACATGAGATTGTGTTTGGATACAGAAGAAAAATTGACCATAACATTAAGGTATGTATGTATTTATTGTAATAAAAATTAAGATATTGTACAAACATTACGCTTTAAATTTACTTAAAGTTTAAGAATTCTTGCATTGTTCCCTCCTGTGAATCTTGAGGCTGGAGAACTATAAACTGTGTAGCCTCATTGTCTTCAACACTAGTATTTGGTATAGATACCTTAACAGGATAATCTTGCTTGGGGCTTTGTTGGGTTGTTGATTGGGGAGGCGTCACACTAGAAATTGAGTGGATAAAAATAGGCTTCCTGGTATTCTTACGGGGCACATTTTGCTGCTGCGAAGATTGATAAAAAGTTGGTGGTGATGGAGATGGACTCTGCAAATATATTGGTGATACTTTGGGCACGTGTATATTTTGATAAGATGGAACGTAAGTCGGTGATGGAGCCATTGGAAACGACCCTGAAGAATCGTCACTTTGTTGATAATAGTTAGTGTACCGGGACGTTGATGGCGATGGTTCGTTTCCCATGGTAATCTTTTTACCAATTGAAGCATACCGACTTTAAAATTAATTTTTTGATGAGCATTCATTGTTTTCATATAGCTTCTGAAACTAAGAAGATATTTCGTGTCGTCATCTTCGTCAATATTAGCAGAAGGTTTTTTCTGTTTTTGTTGCAACATACTTAGTATTTGATTGGGGACATCTTTCTTTTTTTCTGACTGACTATAGGTAAAGTAGGTATGGGTGACTCCACACGATTGATTTCTTCCGGTTCAATATTTTGTTCTTCAGTTTCTGATTGTTGTTGTGGTTGAATAGATTCTGCATTTTCGGTCGGATAGTTCCCTTCTGATTTTCTACTAGCAAACACTGGTGTAAGAAAGTAAAGCAAGGAACTATAAACATAAGTTTTGGGCTTTTTAGCAGCACTGCCAGTAGGAAGATTTTTGGTTTTCTGAAATTCTTTGCGATAATAGTCTCTAATGTTGTTCCATTTCTTCTTCAATTCGGCACCTGAAATAAGTTAAAAATAAAACTATAATGCTTTTTGTTTCAGATTTCTGGCAACTGGTTGCAATTTTGAAGAAATGAAAACAGATTTTTTGGTGGGAAGCCGAACTGTGTCTGCACTAATTAATGAAACCTGTGAAGCTATTTGGGAGATGCACCAACGTTTAGAAATGAGGCCACCGTCATCAAAAGAACGTTGGATTGAAATTGCGGACAGTTATTATAGAAATGCCAACTTCCCAAATTGTGTAGGGGCAGTTGATGGGAAACATATTCGTTTGATATCTCCCCAGCGCAGTGGGTCTGCTTTTTATAACTATAAAAACTATTTCTCTATTGTTTTGATGGCAGTAGTAGACGCAGACCTAAGGTTCATAGCTATTGACGTGGGTGCTTTTGGCAGAGACAGTGACAGTAATATCTTTAAAAATTGGGCTTTTGGGAAAATGTTACAAGAAAATCGCCTTAATTTGCCTGAAGCAAAACCTCTGCCAGGAAGTAATGGCCCACCTCTACCATTTGTGTTTTTAGGTGATGAGGCCTTTCCACTGAACAATAATTTTTTGAAACCTTATCCAAGACAGAACCTCAATAATCAACGTCGAATCTTTAACTATCGATTGAGTCGAGCTCGACGAATAGTTGAATGTGCTTTCGGCATTCTTTCAAATAAGTGGAGGATTTTTCATACAAGTATGACAATTCCACCAGATTTTGCTGTTCTAATAACGAAGACAGCATGCGTATTGCATAATTTTGTACGCAGACGAGATGGTTATAATTTTAAAGATACATTGGCACATTACTTCGAGGATTTTCCATTCCGTTCTGCACGACAATCTACAAACCGAGGCAGAACTATACGAGATAATTTCGCCGAGTATTTCGTCTCGCTGGAAGGAGAACTGTCATACCAATACAATGAAAGTATTATTAATCCAAATTGATTCAACAATAAAGGAATATTAAAATACTAACATTTGTTTACTTTATATGTGCACGTTTCCCAATCCTGAATAAGATCTTTACATATCTGTTCCCAGGCCAAATCTTTCATATCACGGTTATGATAATCCGCGTGATTTATATCCCATATGCATTGGTGTTTTTCAACACTCATTATCAAATTCTCGGCTTCGCACATTTTTTTTTTTGACAGCTGACGGAGAGCGTTTCACGTCGTACGTCTACTCGGCACAGCGCCAACGCGATTCTGAATGAAAATTTCCGTACGTGTGCGGCGATCGAGCCAAAATGTATGCGAATGCTGCGTTCGGGGTGACGTCATCAGGTTTTTTCCCGTTCTTCCAAAACGAACGCACGGAGAAATTCCGAACCGAACGTCAGGTTTTTTTCTGTCCGGAAAAAGTAAGAACGGTGTGCGCCTTGTCGAACATTTTGTATGCACGCGGACAATTCAGGTTTCCGAATCTGAAACCCTGATACGGAAACCTGATCCGGAATCAGTATGTATGCGCCCGGCTTAAAGGTGGGTCGCTAGGTGCGTTGGTCATTTGTTTGTCGGCACGTTAGCGACATGTCACTTTCAAAAATAGCTCTGAACTGCTACTTACAGAAAATTATTCTTTAAAATATACAACTTCACGACCTTCTTCATCATGTTGGGTCCATGACATAAATAAGTTAGGGTCAAGTCATGGGGAGTTTAATGTTCTGTATAAACAATTGCATAATTATGACGAAAAGTTTTACGAATATTTGCGTATGCCCAGAGAAACATTTGATCTACTTTTCAGTAAAGTTAAAGTAAAATTAACTCATTTGGATACTCATCTACGAAAACGCATAACAGTATTTTTCTACTTCGACTGCTACCTCTTCCCGTAGCTTCTTTAAGACGACTGCATTTTTATGGAATTGAATAGAGGGATTCCACAGAGGTTCCCTTTTAAAAACTATTGAAATTAATATTTCATCCACCACGAAAATGCTTCGCGCCTAGCGACAAAAAACCAACACGTTTGTTTACTTCGATACACGCTAAGCGACTAGCTAGGCGCCAAGCGCGCAATGCGGCCGTTCGCGAAGACTCTAGAACGTTCGTTTTACTAAGCTACTCGCTTGGTGACTCGCTAGGCGCTAGGCGCTAAGCAAACCTCCTGCCTGTGCGGACGAAGCCTTAGAGAGTCCCAGATTTCTGTCGTAAAAAAGTGAACTAATTCTTAAAAAGCCGGCAACGCATTTGCGAGCCTTCTGGCAATGTGAGTGTCCATGGGTGGCGGTATCACTTAATATCAGGTGTGCCTCTTGCCCGTTTTCCCCCCGTTAAATAAAAAAAAAGGTGATCTACCTTCAGTTCCTAACACGTTTTTGGGTTCGTAATTCATTTAAATGCATGACGTTCCTCACGATGTTTTCGCGCACACCACAACTCTTACGCAAACTAAATTATTAGATCTTAATATTTCCAGACGATTGTATATCCGGGTACCACGTAGCGTTACCTCTGACGGGCCATGGAGCCAGCTATACCCCCCTACAGGCCATCAGCTCTGGGGCATGGGACAGATTAAAAAGCAGTTCACCCCCTGCCTTACCACCACTCACCTTGAGGGCGCAACAAAGGTAAGTTCAAAAATCACATTACGAGTACATTACATATGAACGCGATTTACTTAAAAACGTCAAACTTCAAACCTTATTTTTTATAGTCTGATGAAGCTTTAGTTATGGTTTTATGTAAATTGTCTTACGATTTATTACATTACTTAATTACGTAGGCGGAAACTAATATTTAGAAAAAAATATATTCAAAATCGTTTGTGCTGAAGTTTTAAAACTAAATTCCTTTCCGCTGAACCGCTAAATATGCGGTATCTCGAAATATTAAGACTTTGTAACTCGAACAAAATGATATTTCCCTACGAAATATTGATAATACATATTTATACTCTATAACTCGAATTTCAAAAAGGAGACTCCGTTAGTCATAGTACAGTTTACTTCATTAATATATAATTCGTTTTAATATGTAAAAAATATATACTACAAAACTTAAGTTGAATTGCTATTCAAATTCGACATTACAAATTGAAAAATACACTTAAAAAATCGCTCTGTAAGTCGATATTTCAGCAGTTAAATCATGTCTCGAAGTTCTTGTTAAGTCGAAAACTCGTTAACTCGATTTTTTTTGCATTTCCCTTGACATTCGAGTTATAGAGATTCCACTGTATTTGTATTTAATTACTAAAATCGTGCAGATCGTTAGACACGGAGTTACTGTGCAATGAAGTATGCGGCAGACTGTGCAAGATCTCGGGCAAGAAGTTCATATACTGTTTTGATTGGGGCTGTCATGTGATTGACGTGTGCCAGTCTAGTGGCTGTCTTTCTGGGGTGAGTACCACTCGGTCAGCAGAGTTACTCTATAATCGAAATTGACTATTTTTTTTTTTTGTCGTTACAACAAACTTACGTATAAAAATATTAAAATGCCATCCCTATAAAGTAAAAATATTAGAATTTAAACAAAATATCGATTGCAATAGAAATATTTACATACAACTTTCTCACTCCAAATTCCTGTTACTAAGGTTTTAAAAAGGAATTATTGTTATTAGGGCCTGTAAAAAGTCAATCGTGTGTTTGTTTATTAGAAGATGTTAAACGGATGTATGTGATATTGGTGGAAATTATTGAGATGATCCATTTAATTTATACAATTAAGGATGCTGTCTAAATTTCATCAGAATTTAATAGGTTTTTAAATATTTATAGCCGCACCAACAATATACATTTTTTTTAATTTTTTTTATTGGACAATTCACACCAATTGACCTAGTCCCATGCTAAGCTGGTGAAGCTTGTGTTATGGGTACTAGGCAACGGATATACATACATATTACATACAGACCTAACACATATAAATACATATTTAAACACCCTAGACCTAAGCACAACACCAAATGCTCATCACATCGATGTTTGTCTCAGCCGGGGATCGAACCCGGGACCCATGGATTCGCAGTCAGGGGTATCAACCACTAGACCAATATAGCAAAGTAACGCATACTAGAACTAATGTGTACCTACAATTTATTTATTCACAAGAATAGTGAATGTACTATCCTTAAAGTGCGAAGCCAATACGATAACGTCGGATTAAAAAATAAATACAAAGGATAACTGGTGCGGATAGCTCACAAAATGCTTATTTTAATAAGATTTTTGAATCTGTTTCATGTTCCTTGTCAATCTAATAGGCAAGTAGGTGATCAGCTTCCTGTGACTGACACACACCGTATACTTTTTGGGTCAAATGCAAGCCGGGTTCCTCACGATGTTTTCCTTCACCGTTTGAGCGAATGTTAAATGCGCATATAGAAAGAAAGTCCGGGGATCGAACCTACGACCTTAGGAATAAGAGTCTCACTAGGACAACACTGCTCGGATTATTTTAAATTTACATAAATAAAATAAAAAACAAAAGAGCATAGTGTTACTAGAAAGTCTTTTTTATAATCGGATTCCAGATCGTACAGGCCATCCATCAGAATTATTCTAAGTTGCTTGTTACTTTAATTTTATTTACATTTTTATTAATTTTACTATACACAAGACTTCATTACGTACACTGGTAACTTTTGTTATTTTTTTTTTCTACAAGTATTTATTACATTCCTTTTCTTTCCTTTTTTTGCGACTGAGGCACAAACTAGCTGCTGTGGTCTCTGGCAGATGACCAGCGCTGTGGAACATTCTGCTCCTGTGCATAATGCTAAACCAGAGCCAATTACAGTCACAGCACACACGCATTACACATTTGAAACGAACCGAAGGGGAAACGGGAATTTTGTTATTGTTTTTGATATTCAATTTTTTTATTTTTTCTCTTTGATTATTGTTATTTTGTGTGTTTATGTGTGTTGTCTGTAATTAAGTCTAGTTCTATTATAGCTTTGCGCCATGTGGTTGTGGGCGAGTGACCCTCGCGAAAGGGGCGAAGAAGACGAGGGCTGGTGCGAGGCGTGTAAGGATGCAGCGGGGGGGTGCGTCATGCATCGCAGGCAGTACACCGCGGAGGTATTATCGCCAACCTATTAGTTTAAGCATGGTCCATTATTTGTGTAGTTCAGTTTTTGAAGTTATACTTCTTTAGGCGCGTTATGAAAAATTAATGAGAGTGAAATTTTACGATGCGCGCGAAACGTGACACAAAATTAACAGAATGAAGTTGCCCACGGAAGATGCTACGGCATTGGACATAATTTAAAAACAACATTCGAATAATAATAGAATTTATGTTACACTTAATGTAAGAGAATAATAATATTTATTTATTTAATATTTCAAATGTAAACTGAACTTAATTGACTATAATGACTCCTTTTCCAGTCTTTGATTATTTAATTGAAATGAATTATTTGCATGCAATCAAAAACTATTTTTAATAATGCCAAAGAAGTATAACTTCTTACGTGCATACATAAGTACACGCAGTCTTTTTATTTTTAGAATTTGTTAGAAAATAAGGTATAAAAACTTGCTGTAGCAATCCCGATTCTACTAAAGGTTTTCATTGATGAATTTAAATTTAACTTCCGTCGCTTATAAAAGAAGACGAAAGTTGTAAGTAAGAAACCAGCAGGGTTCAACAGATTTCTGTATCTGTTTCGAGATCTTTTTCCAATAGGCCTCCTTTCCTTTCATGATAAATGCCTTGTGATATTTTTTTTCTTAACAAATAAACAAGATTTTTTTTGTGTCACGCCGTCGAATTGTCGGTCTAAGGCGTTGCGTTTTCTCACGATGTTTTCCTTCAACGTACAAGCAAGTGTTAAATGCGTACGTACACAGGCTAGTGTCAAATCTACGGCGGGATGATAGTCGCACGCTCAAGACACTAGGACTACAGGCATGTATTCACTTTGATTAGTGATTAGTGCAGTTAGTTGGCTGCGTAGTAACGTGATTAGAAGCGTGTTCTATATTTTTGCGAGTGAACTGCGAGTAGCCACGTCACTTCCTTCACCCTCACTCGCAGCGTGCCTGCCAAAACACGACTGGACAGCTAGCAGGACTCTTCGGTCAACCTGAGTTGTGGGGCTTGTGCCATGAATGGGTCTTCTATTAATCCATTTTCGAACCCATACTTTTCTTGGTCTCGCAAGTTCAGCTTCCAAAACTTCGGTTTCAGATAGCACCGCGTTTAATACTTCTTTCAGTACTTCTTGCAATTGCAAGCGCGTTTCTCGATGTTAGTTGCTGATCGTACTTAGCAGAGCCACTACACAGGAATTGGACAATATTTGCACTAATCATCCTCAATTTTTTTTTTTTCAAAGACAATTCACACCAATTGACCTAGTCCCATGCTAAGCTGGTGAAGCTTGTGTTATGGGTATTAGGCAACGGATATACATACATATTATAGATCGACAGACATATAAATACATATTTAAACACCCAAGACCTAAGCACAACACCAAATGCTCATCACATCGATGTTCGTCTCAGCCGGGATTCGAACCCGGGACCCATGGATTCGCAGTCAGGGGCACTAACCACAAGACCAATGAGTCGTTATACAATTACTAATCACTTGCACTCGCACTAATCAAAGTGAATACAGGCTTTACTGCGTAATATTTATCTCCGTTCATTGGGAAATAATAACTATATGTTCATAGATAATAAAAATAAAACGTAGATTGATGCAAACAAGTTTAAGTTAATTTTCAAGATTGTATTTTTTTAGGATACTTGAGTAAAATTTTGAGGTTCCAACACCCGACATTTGCGTTGTTTTTACGCTTATCTTAATTAACACTACTAAAATCGAGCCCGTGTTTGTTCATATTTAATGATCACAAGATTCGCTTAGAAAAAATTAACTTTACGAACTAAAAAAAAATTTAAACGTAGACATGAATTTTATGTGATTAGAATAGGACGAAGGTTATGGTTGTACTTTTGTCTCTACCCGCATACATTGCGTTCATGGAAATTATTAATAGAGATAAGATAGTCGAGAGAATATTATCAAGTTAAATTAATTTCAGTGCCTATTCACATACAACCTGGTGAGTGGCGAATATCTGACTGAGAAAGTGGCCATGACAGAAGATAACAGCCAGGAAGGTTGTCGAGGTACGAGAAAGTCTATTTCTATAGAAGTTATTTAAATAAGATTTTATTTCAATAGTTTTATTCCAAGGCCGGCAACGCATTTACGATTCTGGTATTGAATGTCCAAGGGCACTTTATATCAGGAGAGGCTCCGATTTGCCCCATGGTCTATAAAAAAATACATTATAAGCAGCTACTGTAACGCCAATTTTGAATTCTGACACATACTAATGTATATAATAAGGGAAAATAATATTGTATGGACATTGAAGGTAGAACTTAAAAATGTATTAAAAACTCTCGGTAATTCCCAGTATCGGGCGCGGTGCGAGCTCGTGAACTTGCAAAGGAACTTGGACCGATAAATTTCCCACCTCATGAGAACCGGCTGCTTTCAACGCTTACTGGTAATTTTTTTTTTCAATTAAAAATACTTGTTTTTAGATGACCTGATTTTTGACATTTTTACAAATTCTGTATTAAGGGACATTTAAAATAAAGTTCACTTACACGAAAGAAGATAACTGTCAGACGTAGATTGCAGTCAGACGTAAGTCATATAATTTAAAAAAAACATTTCTAAATTTATACTCATACTACCTGTTCCGGCAAACGTCGTTTTGCCATGTATATCATTTATATAAAAAAATAGGGTTTGATCGTAGAGGGGTGAAAATTAGGGGTTGTATGTATTTTTTAATGATACAGTCATAAAAAAATTAAAAATTTATCTAATAATGTTATATATTAGATTGTTAAGGGAAAAGATTCATGTTTATAATGAAAAAACCTGAAAATGGCTGGACTGATTTTACCATTAGAATGCTACATTGTCTAAACATAAGATATATTTAATTCCAAAGCAATCTAAACGATAAAGGCGGAAATACACTTACGTGTCATGGCGTGTCGTGACGTGCCAGAAGCATATTGGTTTCATACATTTAATATGATTAGAAACATATTTGCATGTCGTGTCGTGTCGCAACACGTTCTGTCGTGGCGCCGACTGCTCGCCACCGATTGCGCCAGAGCGGTGGTGGGGGTTATGACGCGACACGACACAACAGGCAAATGTGTTTCTAAACCGGCGCGTGGCTCATGGCGCGAACATCTAGCAGATATGAAATTAAATGATGAAATTTCTCTTCGTCACTCTCTAATTTTTTAACAAGACGATGAAATTCACCTTTGTCTTGTCTCCCTCTGTTTATAGGGTGAACCCAGTATCTTTTCTTTTTTTTTGCTCTTAAGAAGTTTCATTGCTAAGAGAAATTGAAGGTCTTATTCAAAATCACTATCCGAATCAGACGAAAACATTATGTATGTTTGAACGCTGCAAAGGTTCGTTAAGTACTGTTCAGAAATAACGCCAGAGGACGCCACGACACGACACGTAAGTGTGCACACTCACCGTCACGACAGTAAGCATCACGACACGCCACGACACGTAAGTGTATTTCCGCCTTAACATTGAAAACCAACTATCTGATTGTAAGTAAGTAATCTTTCGTCTCTTTTTTTCACATTGTGTTTACGCTGTGATGAAAAGAGAGACGAGTACGGGGTTATATTTGTACATACAGAACATATTTACCATAGATTAAATCCTATAATATTAGAAATGTATTTATAAAACAATTCTAGGCAACAAATCCCTCAGGAGAGTAACAGATTTTGACAATTGTGTGGAAATAACGAAAAATCACGATGACAGCTCGGAATCGGAATACTCTTCAGACGAAATCTCTCCCTCTGATGACGAAGACTGAACTTAGTGTTTAGGAACATTCAAATTGTATTGTATTTTTTACCGATTTCTATGTTTTGACAATGAGTTTGACATTGACACAAAGGAGCCAAACAGTAAATGAAAAACAATATACATTATGGGTATATAATTTCATTAATTACTAGAAATATGAAAACGTATGGTTTTTATTCGGTAGAAGAGTCATTGTTATGAAATTGTTCTTTTGTTTTATTAATGTCATACTTTTTGCATCATAGATCTCTTCAGTGTCTAGTTCCTTATAATAAATAAATACCAGGTGTGTTTAGAATATAAAATGATAAATCAGAATTGATTATCGTTTTCTCATCCATTTTGTTTGTGGTATACTCAGAAATAAATACTTCTTGAAAAAGATTATTTTTGAAGTCTCTTAGTAATTACGTGAAATTTTTAATTAATTTTAATTACATTGGTATTGGTATGTAATGTGGTGAAAATTGGTGTATGTAATAAAAAATTCTACATCTTTTTAGATAAAGAGAAATATGAAGGATATTGACAACAAACCCAACATTGTCGTTGGAAATGTTTACACACATATCTATAAGAATGATATCCTAAACACTATATCTTTATTCAACGTTACCTTAAAGAAAGAGACGACATATCTAAATTTAAACAACTTATACCACATTCTAAATGTAAACAAAATATGTTTAATCTGTTAATTTGACAACTATTAAAATTACACTTTAATTCTGAGCATTTTATGGCACTTTTTGCCCTGCTAATCCTTTGAAGTATTTCGAACCATTTGACATAGGGTTTTTTTTTTTAAAAAAAAGGGCTTAGCAACTCTTTCAGATTGACAATGCACACGAGAGACTTCTGGCGTTGTCCATGGGCGGCATCACTTAACATCAACTGAGCCTCCTGACCGTTTGCCCTCTGTTCTATAAAAATACCACCATAAACAAGCTTAGCTTTTATCTTTTAGTATACGGATTACGGACCTTAGTTGGCTGTGACTTCTAACAAATTGTAAAACAGGACTCGAATGATATTTTTTTAAACTGGATAACTTTCTCTCAAAATAAGACTGATACACAAGCAATAAATACGTCATTACAATTCATCCGTATTCAACGTAGTAATAATGAGAAAATCTTGAGGATACTGTTTATTAAAACAATATCACGAAACCTTATCAAAATTTCAAGATAATATAACAAATTTAATAGACATATTTGATTGGATGACTAAAAATAACATTTAAAAAATCTATAATTTAGTTGTATGATGTTCTACTTTTGATTAAACAGCTCTCATGCACTATATCGGATTTATAAGTTAAATTATAATGCTCAGTGCGTTTATTATTTGAAAGGGTGATAACCTTAGTTCGCATAATACATTTATCACAAAGTTATAAATAAGTGTTTTAAAAATTAATTATATACAGCATATAACATCACAAATATTGCTAAAAATGCAAACTTAATAACAGTTTATAAATAAGTACAAGAAATAATACGCTTGCTTAATAGTAATATAAAATCTGTGAAAATGTTATTGCCATACAATTTAATTTATAGCAATGCTCTTAGTATTAAAATGGTATTATAAGATTTTGACTTTCTGATATTTTGTCAAATAAAACCCAAGTTATACCGTATATTAGCAATATTTAGAGTTTAAATGGACAACGAAAATCGTAATATCTTACCTGTATAGCTTACTTCTCGTATATTTTTGTCCTTGTCGTCATAAATATACTTTGAACACCAAGTTGCCATATAATAATTTGACCCTTATCACTCTAGGCCATAATAACATCACTAAAAGGTTTTTCTATTATAGATTTAAAGTATGTTTATAAGGCGGTAAATATGAATTTTGTTTACATTGATGTCAGATATGAATTAAAATATATTAAACAATTTGATGTAAAAATGTTTTGTAAAGAAACGAAAAAGGTTGTGTGTTTTGATACTGGTTATGTGTTTAATGATAGTAAGTTGTAAATAGCCTTGATCATCTACAACTTTGAGGTTCTTACTAGTCATTTAAAAAAGAAAGATTTAAATTAACTCTTAATGCCAAAGCAACTAGCAGTTCAATGATGTTTTTAGTACTTTTTTCAAATGAATATGAGGAATAAGTGAGTTCGTGGCTGTGGCTATGCAAAGCCTTTTAACATACCTATTGTAGTCTCCTAAACTTATGTCATAAAAGTTTATTCACAGAAACATACACCATTTTGTAGTAATGTGTCTGCTCCAGTGACACCTGGGTTCTCCATTGATAATCCTTATCATAATTACTGTGAACTGTATTTAACTTGCATATTTTTAATTTGCTAATTCTATAAGAAACAATTCACAATTTTGTAGATGATCTAAATGTATGGAATTTTATTATTAAAATCTACTCAGCAGTCCCTCAATGAATTAAGATATTGCATTTAATATTATAATGTAGTCGCAATATAAAATTGACTTGCCATTGATTGTATAAATAGTAATTGTAATAAATATTGAAATTATTTTAAGTAGTATTATTTGAAAATAAAAAGTCCTTCATGTTTTTAATACTGCTTTAATAACTAAAAATGTTACATATATTAAATATACATTTGGTGCATTTACACTAAAAGAAAGCGTCGCCTCAGTGCTTGTTTGGCCAACAGACCAATTTTAACGAAAATGACCTTTGAATGTAGTATGCTTAAGAACCAAATTCTACAGTTTAGAATTTAGATGAAGAACGACTCATACAAATAAATGAGCAATACACTATTTAAAAAACCAATATCCACTTTATGAACTTTACTCTGCGTGCTAGTATGGCTTACCACCAACAATTGACCAACATCCAGTATCGAAATTCGCAGCGCGTGCTTGTTTGCCCTATATCCGAAAATGAACCAATCACAGGCTCGCTCGTGACGTCACCTCTCGATGTTCCGCCATATTGTTTAGTTACAATTTTTTTCGACCCGAGCCGGTAACGTCAGAGCTGCGTTATTTAGTTTTTCACTGAGTTTACGAAAGAAAATAAGATACAAACTGTCAGAATCTTCGAGGATTATGTCCTGGACCAAATGTAAGGAACAATACAACCGCAGTACTGCACGCAAGGAAACGTAAGTTGCCGGTGCTATATTTTTTTATGGTGTCTATGGGCTGCGTAGACTGCCCTTTTTGGTCGTCCCGCAAGCTCGTTTGCCCCCCTATCATATAAAAAAAAAATGAAGACAAGATTGCACTTGACAGGGGCGGCCTTAATATGTATTTATCATTCATTTTGTTATACCTACAATATTAATTTTAAGCTTGTTATTGAGATTATTCACTCAATTCAAAACACAATTTAAAAAAGCTTAAAATTAATATTGTATAAAAAATTTAGTATAAAGTAATAGTAACTATAAAAAAACTATAGTAAATATGTGCAGATAAATATGACTACACTAAATAATAAGTAAAAAAATCATACGTAAATAAAAAATAAAAAACCTAAACTATACCTCTATTAATATTTATTTTTCAGGGTTGACAGAGTGAAGAAAAAGTTATTCGGAAACTTGACAACTGCAGTGGAAAACTACATCGTTTGTCAAGGAGCTTCAGAACTTGAACTGGAAACTTCAGTCATAGTCATTGATAATAACGCTGATAGTACTACTGACGCTACTGATGTCGTGGAAATCGTGGAACAAAAAATCTCAAGAAAGAGAAAAAGGTGCCCTGGAAAGTGGCAGAAAATTGCGAGGAAAAATATAAGAGAGGCTGGTGAAGAATATGTAAATATTAAAGGAAAAAATTGTCCAGGAAAACGGGTCCAAGCTGGATGTGACCAAAAGTGCCCATACAACTGCTCAGCCAATTTTTCAGAACAAGAAAGAGAGGACTTGAAGACGGCGTTTTATTCATTAAACGATGCTCAGAAAAATAAATATATATAACAAATTTACATGTAGGGTACACTCGCAAAGGAAAAGAACGTCAGCAGACGAAAGTTCTCATTCGAATATTTTTTGTTGAAAAATGAGCAAAAACGAAGGTGTGCCAGAAGTTTTTTGTGGTACTTTGCATATATCGGCAAAAAGAATATATTATTTTCACAAAAAACTTCACAACAACCCACTGAAATTGATTCCCACACCATCCAAAGGAAAATAATAAAAAAAGGGTGCGTGTAATTATGTACGCGCGTAAGAAGTTATACTCCTTGGCATTATAAAAAATAGATTTGATTGCATGCAAATAATTAATTACAATTAAATAATCAAAGACTGGAAAAGGAGTAATTAATTAAATAAATAAATATTTATTAATCTTATAGGTATTTATATTTACTAATATTAATTAGTATTGATTTAAATATTCAATTTTAATCACTTCTTTATATAATTCAGACGCACATATAAAATTCGCACTTGTATAATGAAAACACGTGTTTTAAATGTAGAAACTCAAAGCATGTGGATAAATATTATAAATATAAATACACAGTGTACAGAGGCGTGCGTGCGTGCCAACATGCGCCACTAACTTCATTCTGTTAATTTTGTGTCACGGTGCAAGCGCATCGTAAAATTTCACTCTCATCAACTTTTCATAACGCGCCTAAAGGAGTATAACTTCAAAAACAGACAGCTGAAAACAAAATAGAAGAAGTAATTCAGCACATAAAGTCCTTTCCCACACAGGAATCACATTTTTGTAGAGCTAACACAGTACGTCAGTACCTCAATAGTGGTCTCACAATCGCAAAAATGTCTTCACTTTCTGTGGAGTCAAACAAAGAACCAGCGAAAGAAAATGTTTACCGGAGAGTGTTTAATTTGGCATTTCATCACCCAAAAAAAGACGCTTGTGATGCTTGTTCTGAATTCAAAGCACTGAAAATTCCTAGTGCTGAACAAACAACCAAACATAGTGAGCATATAAAAAGAAAAGAGGAGGGCAACGAAGAAAGGGAAAAGGACAGAAAAATAAATGAGGCCATAGCAGTTGTCACATTTGACTTACAGAACATTTTTTCTCTTCCGAAAGCCAACGTGTCCTGTTTTTTTACACGAGTAAATTGACTGTCTTCAATTTGACAGCCCGTTGCAATTTAAACAAATCTGCAACAAACGCAATGTGGGATGAGACTAAAAACAGAAGGAGCGGCGATGACCTTGCAAGTGCGTTAATTAAAATTCTTAAATCCATCGTGGAGAGTTTAGCTGTCACAGTAACCAAGCTCGTCTTGTGGTCAGACTCATGCGTGCCCCAGAACAGAAATTCACACATGAGTGTTGCTATAATGACATTTTTAGTCACCAGAAGCAAAACAGTTAACCGAAATAACACAAAAATAACACACGGTAATGTTCATGAATTCGATGCTGTACACAGCCTAATTGAACGAAACCTTCGGCATCAAGAAATATATAGCCCAATATCATTATTGAGGGCATTTTTGAAAATAAAATCCAAGGCTCTAACATTTAAGTTCCTCCAAGATGCTGGATGACGACTTCCAATCTTACCATGAAGAAGCTATTAAGTATGGATTTAACCAAGTACCTTTCTCAAAAGTAAAGGCCATAACTTACAATAAATCAAATTGGAATATCTTCCAATACAAAACCCGTTTCCGAGGGCCCACAACATCAGTAGACATAAATAAACAAAAAATTCAAATCCTAAGTGATGTAAGCGTGAAGGCTCCTACAAGCACTGTTACACAAAAAAATAATTCAAGACATACATAGCTCATACAAATATATGCCGGATGAAGATAAGAAATTTATTTAGAACATACTACAAAAAGCTTTGAGGAAGAAAATCGCTGAGGAAAAACAGGGAACAGAAGAAAAAACAGGTAAGAGGGTAATAAAAGAAAAGCAGGAAATACAGGAAAAATTGGTAAGACAGGAAATACAGAAAAAGCAGGAAAGGCAAAAAAAGATGGAAAGACTGGAAAAGCAGGAAATAAAGGCCAGGGGCGCTGACTCTGAAGAAAATTGTGGAGGGGACCTACTACTACCTCAACTACCGCAAAAGTATTATAAAAGTTAATTATGTAACAATAAGCATTCAACGTAAACCTAACATGTGAGCAAAGTACCTACCTCATTTTCTTTTAAATAAAAAAAATAAGATTCAAATATTTCGTTTTTTAATAGTAACATAAGGTACCTATCATATTGCGTCAGCAAATTTCATTTTGGAAATAAATTATATTAATTGATAAATAAAAAAATATTATGCCGAGTAGCTAATTTTAATTAATTTATTGTAAATTTTATTTCATGCCACAAATATTTTTTATTCAGGCCTGTCAGTCAAAATTAGTTTTCTAAAGATTCTTAAAAATTTATAATGTGAATATAATAGAAGTAGTTTTAATTTCACAACCTGTATTGTGAAAATAGGCTATAGGGCAAACAAGCACAAATTACCTTTGGTTGCTGTTTAGCTAACATCCCAAGGCATATGGTCTATATCCAATAGCATAATTATAGTTTCACTTCTTTGTCCAATATTCATTTTGAAACCGGTTTTTCGCATGCAAAATCCAAAGTTTTTTTTATGTTATTTAGATATTACAAGTCCAGATGTACAGTATTTTTGGAAACTACCGTAACATTACTGCTTTGTTTGAGCATAACATGGAAAAACAAAAAACATTTGCTCCTGTAAAATTACCCAAATGGTCTGTTGGCCAAACATCATTAGGGCGACGATAGGTATCATTTACTAATACAAATTAACAAATTATTGTGAGTTACTTATTGATTAGTGAGATTTGACACTTTGTGTACTACATATCAATTGAAATATATAAAATTTGTACCATCATACCAGTACACCAGATTTTAGACAAATGGTTGATGTTGATCCTCAAAAGACTAGCTGTAAGGTTTAACATTAATTTGGACTGAATAATTACATAATATTAGCACAATTAAAATAGAAAAGTTTTTTACATATTAAAAATTTAGCAAATTTATTATTTAGAGCAAGCCATATTTTGTTGGAATACACACCATTGCCTTAGACATCACTTTTTAATTTAAAAAACTACATTGAATTAAGATTTAAGTAATTTATAAATGAGCCCTCATGTTGATTCACAATTTATTATGTAAATCCCGAATTTCTGCATATAGACATCTAGTTATATCTATATTTTCATAAGCCAATATGCTCGATGCAAGCCTTTCAATATCATCCCACGACATTTTGTTAAATGTTTCTTTTGCTACCACTTGCAAACGATTTCCCAGGCGGTTGGCTTTTTCATCTGACATACCCATTTCCTTAAAATACCTTGCTGCTGCCTCTAGACCTTCGGGCTTGATAATTAATAGATGTATCTTGGCACCATCCTTAATATTAGGATACGTACTGATGGTTTCGTTATCAAGTAACGCCCTACCCATGTACAATAATTTCTGTGTTGAAACCCTTAGCTTGCCGGTAAGCGCAATATTACGTTTAATATCTATAATTTTCGTAGAAGGTTCAACCTTAAACAGAAAAAGTATAATCTAAAATTATTTAATCCAAAAATTTATAATTATAACGAAGTTTTCAACTATATTCTTTTATCATAGTTATCACTTTCCGGCAAGGCTAAATAAAGTCTGATGAACATACAACCAACAGATTTTCTAAAGAGACAACAATCTCGTGATAAAAAAAGATTTATCAAAATGTTATTTGTTGAGTCACTTAGGTTACAATAGGGACTTACCTCAAAATTGAACTCTTCTTGAGTTTGCAACTTCTTAATTGTAATTTTCATATTGACATGAAATATGGACTTAAATAAATAAAGTTTTCACGAAATTGTTATTATAAATGTAAAGACTTATGATAAATTGGATATTAAGAATATATTTATTGATTAATGCGACGAACGCAGATTTAGTGATGCCATCTCAAATCCTACAGAATATTCCGCCTAGTGGCTAGGACCAACTTCAAATACCCTTCCTTTTTAAAAATCATTAAAAACCCCTAAAGTTTTTGCTGTGCATTCGGTTTGAGAGATAATTTCAATGCATTGAAAATACATTCAAATAATATATAAAAGAGCTGTTATTTCGATGTTTATATCTTTTAAATATTACAACCCTGTTTTAATTTTGGTTGGTTGGGTTTGAGGTTTCATATAAATATTATAGAATCGAGCCTTATTTAATAAAAACTAAATAATACTTAAATAAAGTACCCCCTAAATAAATATGCCCCTTATAATACCCACTAGACATCTTAATTCACCCTAAATTTGGGAAGAACACCCACAAGTTGGCATTACAGCACAGATTTAGTAGACACTGAAAGACCAATGTGTGTGTTTAGGGGCCTCATAGCCTAGCGGTCTTATTAAGTGGCAGCTAGGTGAGGGTACCGGGTTCGATTCCCGGTTCGAGGGCAAGTTTTAATTTAAATTTGTTCTCGGCCTTTGGGAGGGTTGTGCGGTACCGGGCGAGTGCTTAAACCGTACATGGAGGACACGGTCGAATTTCTAAAGACAAAGCACGAATTATAAAAAATTATATACTTGACGCTCGCTAAGGCATAAATCGTACCAGGGGGTCTAGCCATATTGGTGTCGAAAAGTATTCTACATACACTACCGCTTTTGCGTAATTGTATTGTCGAAAACGCTTCGTTCGTAGCCAAGAGGCATGTCGATACATTACCGCAAAGTCGACAGCGTAGATGCGAGCTGCTGTTCGTAATAATAATAATAATAATAATAATAATAATTTATTTATTGCAAGAATATGGTACAAATGCTAAGGTGATACAATCATAAATCGTTCGCATATTCTGCCACACACGATGGCGCGCAAATTCGTCCCAAAGAATTTTACAATATTATTCAAAGCCAATTCCTATATTATCCAGCCTATTATATTATATACATTTCATCATTAATTTTATATCATTTACGGTGTTTCATGCAAATAATCATTTATTGAATAGTAAACTTTATCCAAAAGCAATTCACTAAGTCGCTTTTTAAAGAATCTAGACGGAAGATCTTTTAATTCTTTTGGTAATTTATTGTAGACTTTAATTGCCATATAAAAGCTGTTTTTCCGAAACAGTTCCAGATTGATTTTTGGCACAGCCAAATTCTTCCCATGTCTACTTCTTACTTCAACTTCTACATTCGACTTAAAAATATGTATGTTTCTGTGCACGAATAAGGATATCTCTAAAATATAAATACATGGAAGAGATAAAATTTTGAGCTTCTTAAATAAAGGTACGCAACTATCAAGACAGTTTGCTCCACAAATTGCTCTAATACATTTCTTTTGAGCCTTAAATACCCTATTTACTTCGACTGAATTTCCCCAAATTATAATTCCATATCTAAGTATAGATGAAACATATGCATGATAAGCAGCTAATACCGTAGCATGGTTAACAGTTTCCCTTAATCGCTTTAACACAAAAACAAAACTGTCTATTTTGTTCTGTAATTTTTCAATATGTGACTTCCAACTACAAAATTTATCTATCGTTATACCTAAAAATACACACTCGTTCATTATGTCTAGTTTATTGCTTTTATATTGTAAGTCTAATTGTGTTTTAGAGTTATATGTCTGAAAATGGATTATGTTAGTTTTGGTCATGTTTATTTGTAGATTATTGGAATTCATCCAGTTAATGGCGTCGTCTAGAGATTTAATTAAATTGTTTTTTAAGTCTTGTTCGTTTTTACTTTTTATTATAAGTGTAGTGTCATCAGCAAATAGTATACAGTTCTGGTGTATAGCATCTGGAAGGTCATTTATGTATGTTAGAAAAAGTAGCGGGGCCAAAATACTGCCTTGAGGTGTTCCGTACTCATTTTTCTTAAAATTGGATTTATAGGTTTTTTGCTCTAGTTTACAAATCTTTGTTATTTCCACATATTGCATTCTATTTTCAAGGTAACTTTTCACCCAGTTATAAGCATTACCTCTTATTCCGTAGCAATCTAATTTTTTTAAAAGTCTTTCATGACATACAAAGTCAAAAGCCTTTGTCATATCTAGAAAGATGCAACCTATAAGCATTTTATCATTTAAGCATTCAGTAATTTGTTTGACTAGGGAAAAGCACGCAAGGGTGGTAGAACAATTTTTTCTGAAACCAAACTGTTCTTTTTTTAAAATATCGTATGATAAAAAGAAATTCTCTATTTTATTATACATTACTTTTTCGAAAATTTTAGATAATATGGGAATTAAAGTTATTGGTCTATAATTAGTCATTTTTGTTTTTGTTCCTTTTTTATGTAATGGTTTGATAATTGATATTTTTAGTTTTTCAGGAAAGATTCCTTCTACTATCGATAGATTAATTATGTATGTCAGTGGATCAAGTAGGTATAAAGCGCATGATTTAATTGTTTTGGTATCTAAATTATCGTATCCTGTAGATTTTGTATTTTTTAGCGATGTAATAATTTTTAATATATCCGTGTTATTTATGGGGGAAAGAAAAATACTTTTATGATTTAGAGGGATTTTGGCTTCTGGCAAATTGTTTGTTTTATTTTTTGTAGGCAGTGAGGTAAAATAGTCATTAAATACCCACTATTACCAAAATGTCTCCAAAAAACTCGAAGTAACAAATACAACCAAACGCCTCAACACAGATACAAATACCTATGAAGTTTTGCAAAACCATAATCAGCTACAACCACACAAGTCACGCTTATCGTTTTTATACCTTAATGCTAGGAGTATCCGAGCAAAAGGCAAATTTAATGAACTCAAATGCATTTTAAAAACAATTTCTAAAACTGTTCATATCGTACTCATTACAGAAACATGGATCACTAATGAAACTCAGGCCCAAGAGATGAGTCTACCAAACTATACTCATTATTTCAATTATAGATCGGATTTTAGAGGTGGTGGAGTCTCAACTTATGTCCATAACAGTATTAGACATAGTTTGTCGGAGTCAACATATAAAGACGGCAACAACTACCTATGGGTCAAATTAGACAGATATGCCACCGAAATTGGACTTGTGTATAATCCTGGAGATACAAACTT